ATAGATCACGCGTGCATTTAACAGATTATGTATATAATTACTACCAGGGCAGCGAATAGTTACATATGCGTACAGTCCTCGTAACTAATATCGTTTGTGTCGATCGTTATAAGTTAATAAATCACGTCGTGTGCATGCTATATGGCAAAACAGCTGAAAGCAGTTAGATTGAAAACTGCAGAAAATAACCATGCACTCAAGCACGCGATGCTCGCACGTAGGATAGATAGTAGATTCTCAGCGTAAAAGCGGACACGGAACATGCCACTATATGGACGCTTGATTCACCGTCTCGCTATCTCTCCGCGGACAGACTTTGTTCGTGGTCGGGCGGGATGCCTGCTCTTCAGATTATAGTTCGTAGAGGGAGACTCCCTCTAAACTAACTATGTTCAGAATTAAGCTCAATTTTGCGAAAGTACATTAGTATCTGTCACCTGACTGCAGCTTTCGGCTAAATATCTTTTTATAGCCGCATTGCATCGAAAGTTATTTTTTACCAGCCAATCGGAATTTCCAGAACGCAGACGGCAAAACAAGACAAATAGCGCTTGTGTTCAGCAAATAAATAGGTTGATAAGAGAGTATATGAAACATGAAGACTTTTGGTAGTAAATAGATTTCGTATTTATTTTAGCATTATATTTTATTGAAACTCCAAGTCCTGTGGTCCCTACAGCAGCTGCGGCTGTAAACAAAATCACATCTTTCCCGCAGGCGTGATTTTTTTTCCCGCAGGATAATCAAGAACATAGGGCTCTAGTGAGGCGCTGCCCATTGTTTAATTGATACAAATACGTGCCTCAACTCCTGTTTTATGGTGCATTCTGTCTGACACGCCTAACGCCTAACCCTAATACAAAAAAAAACGCAAAACCAGAGAGACATGATACAAGAGTTAGCGTGCGACGCGCTTTGCTAGTTGATGCCTGCGCGCAATAAGCAATCTTATTTACTTACCAAGTAACCAGTTACTCACGCTTTATGCCCCCGCAAGGTGGTCACAAAACCGGATCCTCGAAAGCTGCCAACAGCGTATCCATTTTATGAATTCATGAAAATTGATTTGAAGTTGGTTTGTAGTTGGCTCGGTTGGGAAAGTGTATGTGAACTAGATTGCAATTCTATAATATATTAGTTGATTTAATGAGATTTGATTCGAAGTTTCCTGAAAGTTTTGCACACAGCGGGCGAACCATGGAAACAACAAGAGTGGGCGGCGAACTTGTCAAATCGTTAGTAAGTTGACTTCAGGAAGTCTTGAAATAGATTGGAAGTTGAATAATTGATTGTTAAATGGGCTGCTTTTGATTGTAAAACGTTATTATGTTTTGAAGAGCTGTATGATTAAATTTGTAATTTAAGGCTATTACATTTGTCGTTTTGTTACCTAATAGATTCTGAAAACAACACGGATAGATTTCGCCATTTATCTGGTGATTAATGTTGAAAGTATAAATTAATTTCAAATTAGTGAAGGCTGATTCGTTATTCTGTAAATTAATATTAAAACTTATAAATTTCAAATTGTAGGGTGATGAAATGCAAGATTTGAAACATTATGTGCGTTTATGTATGACATGTTCTCAATTAATTGCATAGTTAGTAAATTGTTTTATTTTTAAAATAAATTTGTAAAGCGTTTAGAAAATGAATTTTTACAAATGATGTGAAGGAATTTGTTACATCAAGGCAATTATTTTGAAAGGTGTGATCTAATATTTGCCAAGTGAATAAATTGAAATTTTGTTATTCTGTGAATTGATTTAAATTTTGAAAATTTAAATTTCTCGACCAATATAAATGTAATTTTATTTTTATTAAAATTTGAAATGTTTAAAATGATTTAAAATTGTCGTATTTTAAAATTTTGAAAATAATTTTTGAAAGGCGATGGCCTTTCCATCACCGTTTACAAGTCTGTCAAACTGCCGTAGTATTTCAAAAATACGTTATTTCAGGTAAATTGAGGGCGAAAAAAGTGACTGGTCAGGAGACCGGCAGTTTCGTAAGAAAGTCGTTTGGCCCCGAAGAATAACTGGTGGCCTCGGGCCTCCGGGTTCGACACTCAATATCGAACGCTGGCAGGTACCGAAGCTAAATCTAACATGAATTTGAGCGGGCAAGCAGGTTCGCTTTACAGTGGAAGCATTTTTAGCGTTTCCCCGAGTTAGGCGAGCAAGACGAAGAGGATCGCAATAAGTGGTGCTGCCCACCTTAGGCCTATATATAGTAGTGAACGAGTTGCAGCAGCAGCAGTAAATGTGTGAGCGTGTGCAAGCCAGTGGCCAGTGCATGGTGTAGTGGCAGGAGATAGTATTGAGGGAGTGCTAGAGGTATATGAGAGACATCTTGTACGACGTTGTGTGTGTGTGCCATCGCAGTGTGTGTGTGTGTGTGTGGTGTGTGGTGTGTGTGTGTGTGTGTTGCGCGTGTGCGCGCGTGAGTGGCATGCGTGTGTGTGTGTGTGCGTGTGTGTGCAAGTGGCATGTAATATAGTTTACCTCCGCGCAACGGAGTTGCAGGGAGGTAATGTGATGCCTCTCGTGTGATGCGTTCGTGTGCGTGTTCGTGTGTGTGTGTAGCCAGCAGCGAGCCAGCAGCGATCGATTCAGCACCAGCTCGCCTTAGGGCGTCCAGTCAACAGCAGCTCGCTCGCTTGCGCGCAACAATCAATATTTCAGCGATTCTACTACTACAAGCTAGAACTACTAGAAACTGCAACTAAAACTGAAACTAGAGTCAGCGAGCAGGCGGCGCGATCGATAGCGCGTCGAGTCAGCGAGTGGCGAGTCAGCAGCAGCAGGCGAGTCAGTCAGCAGCTGCCACCAGCGAGCACATACATGTTACACGCTCGCGGAGGTATGCCCTCTCTTTGAGTGCCCTGTGTCTAGTTAATGTATGTGTACAGTCAAGCATGTAATTCATATATGATATGATGTATGTAGTGTAATGTATCATCAAGAGCGTATTAAGTATGATCATACCAGGAGTAGATAATAGAAGAATCTTCTATTATCTACTCCTGATCATACGTATATATGATCTTACATATTTCATCATACTCTCTTGGTATCATGTTGAATATCAACTCCGAGTTGGCGAAAATAAAACATGTTCTAATCTCCAAACTAGTTGCTATCGACCAGTTGCTCGCGCGACTTTTGCGTTTACAATGCCGATTGTAGGTTGTATAGTTGGGAAGTTGGTCCAATTCGCCAATTCGCCAACACAAAGTCGGTAGTATGTAAACCCAGCTTAATGCGGCTGCTTGATTGTACAGTTCTCAACTCCATCGACAAAACATTCCAAGTTTGTTTAGAGATGTCTATTAGTAAAGAACATATGTAAGTAATAGTTAATAAGGTTAATAATATATTAGTAAAGATATCTTTTAGTAAAGAACATAGATACAGAATTCAGTACAAATTTTTCTGATATAAATAAAAAACATTTCTGTATTTCTAATTTACACTTGTTGTCACTCACATGCATGAAAACAATAAACGTTTCACAACATTTTCTGTTAGTTTGTATACTACACAGTATGAGAGATGTATGAAGTAAAACCATAGATATAGAATACAGATTCTATGGTAAAACGAACTGTTAGAAAATGAATTATAACACTCGATGAAACAACATGGAAATTTCCCCCTTATTTTGCGATAATCTTTTGCGATTTACTTTGGATATGCTAAGCAGTTCCATTGTTATCGTTGACTCTCCAGCTCAGTGAATACTATATCGCAAAATGAAATTAGGAACTTATAGATAGATTAGATTATCAATGAAAATAGTCTATTATGTATCACCGGAAACACGTGCAAAACTGTACACTTGTAATATAATATGCTGCATTTCGGATAGATATTACGCATTTTAGGCCGTGCATTAAATTAACAATTAGAAACATGATTAAACGGACAAACTATATTACTAACAAAATTTATGCACAATTTAAATAGCAACGTAAGATACATAAACTTGTAAACCTCATCACGTCATGTATAAACTATAGCGAGTACGCTCACATTTAGTCACCATGTTTAAAACTGTTGCATTTAGGCATAAAACTGGCGAGAATCAAGTTGCTCCTAAAAACTCCTTCACACAGTTATTCACTGTAATAGAGTAACACCACCTAGTTAACTACGTACAGGTTTTATCTTGTGAAGCGGGCGTGAAGTGTCAGTTAGTGATATTGCAATTTACGTTATGGTCTCAAGCAAGGTTTACTACACAAAAACGTCTGATTCCCCTGTCATAAATATAATTAATGTACCACATATGAAGGCAGATGTTAATAAAGTCGAGAGCGGACTAGTTTTGAAATATGTTGCTAGCCGGTTAGACAGCTTTCCAATCTTGGGAGAGAACACCCTATAACGCCCTCCTTGCATGGAAGGTGTGCGTTCCAGCAACCAGTTCCCTACACCCTGTATACTACTAGTACTAAAGATTCAGGGTACTAATTCTTATTCTTAACACCTTCCCCCCCCCCAATATATTATTTCGATATCATTATCATGTTATTGTGTTATATCATTATCTAATCATCATATGTGCTTGCAAATGTAGTGTGCTTGTATAAGAGGAGAATACGGGATTTGTTACTTACTTTAGCCGACGTTTTCTGGTAAGTACGGATTTTTAACCATATAATGGAAGTCATTGGAAAAATTGGCTTCACAGTTCACGCTAACGAATTTCGTGTTAAAAATGTTTTTTACTAGAATGCATGCATAACACGCGGCATTACTGTATCAATATAAGATGTCCGTTAAATTACATTGTGAAGTACTTACTGTGTGTTATACGTGAATTTACAAGTTAAGAAAATGCAGTTGACTGTGAATTGTACAATAAAGCTAAAACTCGCATATAGTAAGCTATCTCAAGAGTAACAAGAGGTTGTCGACCAATACATGTGATTTCTGACTAGTCTGAAAAGTGACCGCTAGTGGGAGTTAACCACAAGGTCGTTAAAAAATTCCAAGTCAAAATTAACAGTTTTTATTGATATTTTAACAGACTGACCAAATAAGTCGCCAAGATCAGATCAGTTCCGGATTTAGGTAACCATAGCAACTGTATAAACAGTGTAAAGGATTGTTGTGCTTATCCAGAGTAAAGACCTATAGTAGCGTACCTCAAAAACCTATGCTGATGCAGTACCATACTGAAATTATACATTTCTTGGCCAAAACAATTCTAATCGATATTAGAACTAGCAAAGAAATCCGTGTTCCAAACTGGCACGCCATCCCCATGTTACTGGACATATGACGCTCTAAATGCGAAGGAACGAGGAAAAAAATTCGACTTAGCGATGTTCATCTAGAGCCAAGCTGATTTCTCATTTCGTTCAAGCGAGAACAAGCAAAAATCACCGAGAGGACATCTGTGTTGAACTGTCACTGTTCTTCCCCATGCTCCCCAACACGTGCCACAACAAACCGCTCTCAATTCTCACATGTACTGCGAGGATGCAAGCAAGATCATCCTGTGCCCACTGTACAATCTAGGCAGTGCCCACTAGAGGGCCTAAACAAGAGCACATCACAGTACGAACACGTCGTCGTCGGCGGGAGGCGACTCGAAAATGTCGGCGCTGGAGTGTGGCTGGCTGCGACGAAGTTCTTCCATCAAAAATATCGTCTGAAAATTTAAAAAAACAGCGAGCCCGTGTTTCGCGTCAGAATGCTGGTTTCCCATTGGCCGATGGCCGGCACCCTCACGCAACGACGACAGCAGGTGGCGCTAGTATTCTAGAGCAGAGTTCCTGACTCGGTGATGTTCACTTGTCTCTGACGCGGCGTGAGTACAGCGAGGCGCGTAAATGACAACAGGCGTTTATGATTTCGCATTTGAGACAGCTTGCTTGATCAGATCTCATCGCGATACTAAGCTAGCATTTAATCATCCGATCAAATGAGAATAACCGCCCACTATAATTAATTATTATCATAATAACTCATACGTTTCTATCATATATATGGTAAATCTCCATTTTCTCTGTTTACGCCAAAGTAAACATGCAATAAGTAATATACTTAATAAACTTCTTCAATAAATCAGACTTTTAATGTGATTGTAATCACAATTCATGATCATGAGAAGTTACAGTGAACTTTAAGCATACCAGTGATAAAAATTGACAGAATGATATCATTAGTCTATCTACGTTAAATTACTATAGCTAACCAACATGACATAACCTTTCACATAACTTAAAAGGAACTAGGGGGAGTCCGGGGCGTGTTTTTTTACCGTACCACTAATTAATGCGTAAAATCGCCACCACACCATAGACGGTATTTGGGGTTCTTGTATGTATAAGATAGCCGAGTCGGTGTACAGTAACAGTTAGTGTTGGGTGTAGGACAGGTTAACTGTTTGTAATTGTGTATTGAGTGCAGTGCATGCGTGGCACGGTAAAAATACACGCGCCGGCCGGTGTCCTGGTCGAATTGGAATTCTTGACGATCGATTCCCGCGCTGGCAAACTTTTATTGTGGTGGAATTTAATCGGGGCGGCGGTAATTTAAACGGGGCGCAACGATTGAAACAGGGGGGAGTTTTCCCAAACGGGGTGCATGCGCCCCGTTTGCGCAACGTAGGGAGAACCCTGATGTGCTATCCATGATTTTGTGATCAGGAAACATTCCCACATGCAGCTTGTACTTGGTTAATCATGAGCGTGAGACTACAGGCTACATATGCACACTCGACATATTTCTGCAACACTCTCATCATTTAAATAAACTCTATAGTTTATAATTACATAATCAAATAATGGCCACTGGCCACAAGCTGTGAGTGCTTTGCAGCGCATGCCACACTGCACATGGCATTCATGATTATGAGACAAGAACAGAAGACAGTCAGACAATTTTCGACAAATGCCAAAAATGCACTGACTACATGTTAGAGATCACAGTAAACAGTGGTAAACTACAGAGAAGTACAATCGAGCAACACTCTGAGGATTGATTGACACCCCACGCACACTCGCACAGAAGTTGAGTATTGGTCACAACAGGTGGCACCACTCTCATAGCAAATGCAGTGAACTTACGTCGTCTAAGAAGTTGTTGATCTTCAGGTAGTAATCTGGAGACATCCAGGTTTCGTTGTGAGTCCCCCCTTCAAAAGTCAGCAGCCGCTTGATGGAACTGCCTGACAACTACAAAAACATGGGGGAGTACTTATTAAACAACAATAATATAGAATCTAATATATATATATATACAGGTGTACAGGGTTCTCCAAGCTTTTTCATTATAGCATGGCGGGTGCTGCCTTTACGGTCCTAGTTGCAAATCGCCGAAGGCGGTTTGCGTGCTAGGGGGGTCCGGGGGCTATGATATTTAGCATGGCAGCTATGATATTTAGAGTGGCGGGTGCATTTTAGGATGGCGGGGCTCGACGATAGCCTGGCGGGCCGCCAGGCTATAAGTGCTCTTGGAGAACCCTGGTATAACAAAATAACTGAAGATAAGACATTACTCTGGAATATAGACCACGTGAGGAGAATTGAAAACGCCAGACAAAGTGTTTTCATTATACTGCCTGCGATTCAGTCACACTTCCTTCTCTGTCGACAGCATCGGACTGTATATGCGCCACTACTGTATATGCACCACTACTGTATAGCTCACCTCATATAGTTCACGAATCATCTCAGGAGGCACCAGGTGGTCAGCGAGACCCGATATGAACAGAGTCGGTGTCTTCACTTTGGAGATTTTCAACTTGGAATGATACTGAAATGCAAAAAAGTTGGTATTTACGAATGAATTATCAAAAACGTTCATCATGGCCATGCTGGAACGCGGATGTGATAAAGTTATACAGACCTGACCATTAAACTCTAAACTAAAGCACACTGCAGTACAAGGTTAGGCTTGGGAAAAACAGATGTTACAATGTTGATGAGCTAACGATGATGTCTTGACAATTAAACCAATCATTGCAGGATTAACAACTTTCGTACTTTTTACTTTTTCGAACTGATTAAAAAATCAGCCGGGAAACTAACCTGGGATGTATAGTGCTGAATGAAGAGATTGAGCAATAACAATAGCATTATAGGTAAATCATTATGAATCAAAACGGTATTAAAGTCAATGACCAGCTTCATATTTTATTACACTCTGCTAGGTTTTGACTTGCTGGCTCTCCAGCGCCACCTGGCTCTCCAGCGCCACCTGGCTCTCCAGCGCCACCTGGCTCTCCAGCGCCACCTGGCTCTCCAGCGCCACCTGGCTATGAGACGGAGTGTTACCGAGCATGCGTGGCCCATGCACCACTAGCACTATGTATGTGGCACTGCGTGTGCATGTGTGTGTGTGTGTGTGTGCGGTGCGTGCACATGTGCGTGTGGGCATGTGCGCGCGTGACAGTGTATGTATGTATGTGTGTATGACATGTATTGTATGCTAATGTATGTGGTGTAATGGTATTATTGTGTGTATGTGTGTGTGTGTGTTGTGTGTGTGTGTGTGTGTGTGTGTGTGTGGTCTGTGTGTGTCTGTGTGTGTGTGTGTGTGTGTGTGTGTGTGTGCGTGCGTGCGTGCTGTGCGTGCGTGCGTGCGTGCGTGCGTGCGTGCGTGCGTGTGGCACATGCTACACTGGCCTATCTGACTCACCAAGTTCTTAAAGCACCAGAGAGGAAGGCATCTGATCCAGGAGCTCTTCAGCATGATGCTGCCCATGTCAGGGATGCTCGTGAACGTGTTCTCCACCACCGTCAGCAGAATCTTATCACAGTAGTACGGACGCGCGGACAGGTCGATCGCGACGGCGCCCCCTAGCGACCGGCCGAAGACGATGAGCTTCTTGCGGTCGATGTCGGGGCGTTGAAGGAGTAGATCGATGGCTGCCTGCGCGTCGTGGTAGATGCCTGCCGCGGGCGCCATGTTTGCACTTATTAGTATAGATGTTTTATACAGTTTATATATAGATTTAGATACAGTTTATATATAGATTTAGATACAGTTTATATATAGATTTAGATAAAGTTTACATATAGATAGATTATTATTTATATATATAGTTTCATATACTTTTTCTAGGAGCAAGACAATTATTGCCTTCAGTTTAATCAGACATTACGACACGACGGAAAGTTGGAAGGAGCCGAGGCAAAAATGTCCCTCAAAAAAAAGTTTGAAGCACTTAGTTCTTAACAACTTTCTTTACATGGAATAAAGAGGGATGCATACACCATGTTGGATTGAAAAGGAAAGCAAATGGACATTAGTAAGGTGAGGCAGCCATAGCAACTTACGCTGTGGGCAGATTGTTAATGCACCACAACAAGTGAGGGGTGAGAGCCACAACACTTGCCATCAATGATTCTACTGTGTAGGCCTAATTATGTCACGAAAACAGGTTTATGATGCATTTGTTTTGCTTACCTTCTTCCGACGGCACACCTTCACTCCTGCCATAACCCCTCCATTCTAACAGCAGCACGTTGCAGCCACACTGTGTGAACAGACCTTTAGCATTCTGAAGCCTGTCAAACAGTGCAAATAGAGAACTTTACCATGACGATAACCAGACGGCAATAGTTATAACATTGTAAGAGATCTGTTCCGACTTTGCACACTCTGTTGGAAATACAGTAATCGTGTAAATGTATCTAACCAATGCAACTGGAATTTACGAATTCACATTCCACTTTTTAAGGTTATTACGATCCAGCTTGACAGACTGCAAAAGTCTGACCAGCACTGTGCACCGATATGAAAATACAAAAATTGTATAAATACGCAAGCCTACAAACCTGTGACCGATGTTACCTGCGTTACCATGCAGGTAAACAATTGTCGGGACCAGCTGACAATAGTTCTCTGGTTGCTTGAGCAAAATCATGTTGACACGAACTCCATCCTTACTGCGTATAAAAATATTCTCGTATAACGAGAGTCCGTACATTCTCGGCGACTCGACGAAAAACCTCGAGTGTGGTGGCTGGTCAGGGTGATACAGAAGCAGGTCAGAGGCATTGTACAGCAACGCTGTAAAACATATGGTAACTATTATAGGCAATTCACCCATTTACATTCTGATACTGTGATATTCTAAAATCTAAAATTCCATGTTGTGAATAAGTACAAGTATGAACAAGTAAAACCATATAATATATATTGATATGCTCAAAATAAAATGGAATATATATTCTTGTACACTAAAGCAACGATTTTCCCACAAACACATATTCACCCACTTCAAATTACTAATTTAAACTTGGTTAGAAATCCTTAAAATAAGAACTTATATCAACTTCACAATAGTTCGCACTAAACTTCAATCCATGCCATTAATTGTTTTCCTAATTAAAAAAAAGTAAATATGAAACGTTTAGTGTTAATTATTCTTACCCGTGATTGCAAAGACAAGCAACACTCCTATAGATAGGTGGCCATTGATTTGATATAACAGGAATATGGTGAGCACTGCTACTCCACACATATACCAGAAATTCATAATTGTCTTTATCACTAGCTTGGCCACTCTCTCGATGAGTGTGAACCCAGTGGATTTGCTGTTCTGCACATGGTGCGGCAGAACAGGACCACGAGGTAACTGTGTACGAATTTTAACCATCTGGATAGCATCCGGATAAGCTTCAAACACAGCACTGCTTCCTCACGATGGTGGCCTGATAGATAGGCAACCTAAACGTAGATTAAGAACAAAGTATGAATTAGCAAACGATCCCTCTCACAATCGCTGGTTAACAAAATTAAAAGGTACCGTACTGCCTTAATTTATATGTGCCATGTGGGTAAGTGTGAAACTGAGATCTGCATCGTTGGAAACCAGGTGAGGAATAAACAAAATAGATTAATAAGGATATGATGTAGGTACCCAACATTTAATTGAGATCATTTGGCATGACGCCTTGTCACTTGTGATTATCAGTGTTGTAACTTGTATGCAGGACCTAGTATCATCTAACAGTAACACACTTCCAATTAATACCTATCCAAGTCTTCAGTATCTACAATTTAGACCCATTACATCACATACTGACAATTATAGACAATACTAACTTGATTGCCTAATCCATAATCATGTTAATATTCTTGATGGACAAAACTAACCAAGGCAAGAGTCCAAGTTTGTTTATGAATATGAAATTATGTCATGACATTGTCATGACACATTGACAGCTGGCAAATGATCCCATTCATTCGTCACTGTCTTACGTCGAACTGATTATGATGAAACTACTTTGATTGACAAAATTCGCATCACTCATAAGACTAGATGTACCTAGTCAGGTTAGTACCGTGATTTAACAGCATCAAATAAAACACATAGTTAACTAAGCCGCCATGTTGTTTGTGATGTGTTAGAAATAATTCTGATAGATGGGTACCCTGTCTCTCCTCAAAATATAGACGGCTCGCATCCCTCCTCTATTAACAGAGAGTATGGGAACAGAGGACCAGTCTAATAATACCAACTACCAATAGATGGCGCCACTGTATATTTCTTGACGACGGGCCAGACGCCACGGAACATATTGGATGTTGTGCTACTTGTGCACGATTCACTAATATATAATACTAATAGTAATACTAGACTAGAATTGATATAATAAATATAAGTATGAATTGTGCACCATCCTTTGGAGTACATGATGACATGAAACTAAACGTAAGTGCAGAGCAGTATAAAGGAGCACGTGCTTTACTCTCATTCTACATTTCTTCTTAATCTTATTCTTCTTCATTCTTATTCTTCATTTATTTTTAGGAAGTGGCTATTCTTACGACGAGGCGTAAGAATTATTTTTGGACTATTCTTACGACATGCAACGCGCATTCGCATGCGTTGCGTATTTCGTTATACACCATAGATTGTTTTTGTAAGATATATTACCTATATAAGAAATGGAGTCGGTTTATAGTTTGTGTTAGGGTTAGTGATGGGATTCGTGTTAGGGTTAGGGTTATGGGTGAGGGTAGGGGTTAGGGTTAGGGTTAGGGTGAGGGTAGGGTTAGGAATCGGATTCGTGTTAGGGTTAGGTGTGAGGGTAGGGGTTATGGGTGAGGGTAGGGTTAGGAATCGGAATCGGATTTGTGTTAGGGTTAGGGTTAGGGTTAGGGATCATTTTAGGGTTAGGGATCGGATTCGTGTTAGGGTTAGGTGTGAGGGTAGGGGTTAGGGTTATGGGTGAGGGTAGGGGTTAGGGATCGGATTCGTGTGAGGGTTAGGGTTATGGGTGAGGGTAGAGGTGAGGGATCGGATTCGTGTGAGGGTTAGGGTTATGGGTGAGGGTAGGGTTAGGGATCGGATTCGTGTTAGGGTTAGGTGTGAGGGTAGGGGTTAGGGTTAGGTGTGAGGGTAGAGGTGAGGGTAGGGGTTAGGGTTATGGGTGAGGGTAGGGATTAGGGTTATGGGTGAGGGTAGGGGTTAGGGTTATGGGTGAGGGTTGGGGTGAGGGTAGGGGTTAGGGTTAGGTGTGATGGTAGGGGTTAGGGTTAGGGGTATGGGTGAGGGTAGGGGTGAGGGTAGAGGTGAGGGTAGGGTTAGGGATCATTTTAGGGTTAGGGATCGGATTCGTGTTAGGGTTAGAGTTAGGTGTGTGGGTAGGGGTTAGGGTTAGGTGTGAGGGTAGAGGTGAGGGTAGGGGTTTGGGTTATGGGTGAGGGTAGGGGTTAGGGTTATGGGTGAGGGTATGGGTTAGGGTTATGGGTGAGGGTAGGGGTGAGGGTAGAGGTGAGGGTAGGGGTTAGGGACGAGGGTAGGGGTTAGGGTTAGGGTTGACCCTAACCCTAAACTAGAATTATATTACTATTAACTATTAATAGTATTATGCGCATGCGCGTTGCATGTCGTAAGAATAGTCCATAGCCACGGCCTTATTTTTATCCAATAATCAAAGTTTGACTCTTCTTCATACAACGTACAGTTATTTGGTCTACAGGTCACTGTAGAATTATACTGTATAATATGTACTTCTTTTATTTGTCCATTTAATGATTTAGCCTATACCCCTGCTGATTTACACTGTCATTTCATTTGTACAACTGAACTACAATAAATTCCCTTATGAAATAAATCTCTGGTTTCTTGAGACAGACTGTCAAGCCAGGTGCCAGCAGTGTGAAACTAGAGACAAACGCTTTTGGAAGTGATGTTCATGTACAACAAAGTAACGAGGTTAGCCTTAGGGTAAGTAGGTACCGGTATTTGAATAAAATAAATAGTGTGTATGGATTAGCTAGCTTATAGTACTATAGTCCATACCCATTTCATATTGTTATTTGTTACTTCCAATCTATGTTTAATTATAATTGAAGGCTAAAGCCAAAATTGGAAGTGAAATGCTGTTTTTTTGGTTTCAGGAGCTAAAAGATGAAAATGGGCGGTTATTCAGACTACTTAGTGAAAGAGAGTACCAGTTAAAGCAAATCCAGAAACAACATGAACAAAACTCCACGTTTGATGGTAATATAATGATTGCATATGATATATTAACATGCTAATATTCAGTATAATTATACAACTAATAGTAGATGTTCTTGGTCTTAGTGATCCAAGTGATAACCAATATTCTTGCATAGTAAATAAATTAGAAGTTGGAGTACAGATATGGGACAACAGATTGCCAACCAACAATGCAGCGCCATTGTTCTCAAATGTTAATACTCCTAGAATTCATCAGCTACGTTAATACTCGTCAATGTGCATTATGGGAAACTGAAAGTGAATCCGTGCCACGTTCATTAATCTTCTACCGCCTGGTTAATTAAGACCTCAGATATGCGTAAGAGGTTGAAAGTATGCTGCATTTCAGATGCGGGTGGACGTGCAGGGGACCTGGCTGCTACTAAGATTGTGGAACTATCCAAAAAGCTGCGAGAGGTAAATGCACAGATGGAGCAGGAGAGGACACGGGCGCGGCAGTTGGCCAAGAAGGCAAAAGATCTTGAGGAAGAGGTTGGTAGAAGGATGCTAATTGATGGCTTTACTGTTGATGTTTAGATTCAAGTTGACCTGTTGAACATATTGGGCTTGTACAGCTTTCCTCACTGTCACCATCAGCAGTTAGTGCAGCCTTCACGAATGCACAACATCAGTGTATGAATTTTGCTTATCAGCTATCACAATTGTAGGGTTTTCCTCCCGTGTGCTTTTGCGTGTGTCACTTCAGAATTTCTTTACACAATAATGGCAAAAACTGTGTGTTTTCAAAGTTGTTAGTTTTTCCGTGGGAATGATGTTTCTCCGCCTGACTTTCGTAAATGACAACTAACTTCGTCATTTTTACAGGTTAAATCCTTTCAAAATGCTCAGGGTAGTAAAAGACCCGATTTAGAAATAACAGGAGCAATACACAACAGAGTGCAGGTAAATGGCTAACCCACCCATGCTACCATATTAAGCCATATACATAGTGCTTTCACGGGTGCTTATTGAATCAGTATTTTATTAAAACTAGAGTAACAGGCAATGTGTCCTACTAGACATGCGTGTAAACAGAGGAATTGCTCCGACCTGTGATTGGAGGATAAAAATAGACCCCGCCCACTCCCGCTGCATACGCTATGCTATGACCGGTATAGGAACGTGTAGGTAACTATATATCATTGGAGCGAACGATTTGAGTTACATTTCTATAATTTCTAGCTATTAATACCTATTATAGACACATGTCTTAGCCTTAATCTCTGAATTTTGAGTCTATTGAAGCGCGATTAGTCTAATTAATTGGCAAATATGCACGCGCGGCTATGACCGGTGAAACGAAACGTCACGAATTCTATTTTTATCCTCCAATCACAGGCCGGAGCAATTCCTCTGTTTAGACGCATGTCCCACTAGCTGTAGGATCTGGGGTTGTGCATACACATTCTCACATTGCAGTATAGCCCCAGTGGTGAGACATGTACAAAGGCCACCCAGGAAAGGCTGCAGCAGCTGCAGACAAAAGTTGGAGACTACAGAAACCAGTGTGAAACATTGAAGAAAGACCTTAAGATCGTCTTGAAAGTACGCGTCAGTTTCTACGAGTTTTGTCACGCAAAATTAATTTTATCACATAATCAAAGTTATTTTTACCACAATATTTGAAAGACATATACAGTTTGTCACCTGTTCAGGAGCACCGCTGCAATTCCCTAACTAAATCTGATACTTCGTGATAACACATCGGGTATATATAGACATAGGACATAGTCTTCACGCTTTGCTAGCGGCGTAAACTGGGTTTGTTGTGTCTACCAGATTCGGATTGTTACCTCCGCCAAGGAGATAATGTAATCGGTCTCGTGTGTGTGTTTGTGTGTGTGTTCATGTGTGTGTGTAGCCACTAGTGTTCGCGCGATCGATTCAGCAGCAGCTCGCCTTAGCGCGATCGATTCAGCAGCAGCTCGCCTTAGGGCGTCGAGTCAGCAGCAGCTCGCCTTAGCGCGATTGATTCAGCAGCAGCTCGCCTTAGGGCGTCCTGTCAGCAGCAGCCAGCAGCGAGCCAGCTGTTATACACATACATGTTACATGCTGGCGGAGGTATGCACTCTCCGTGAGTGACCTCTGTCTAGTTCTTAAATGTCGAGGACGTTAATCGCTCGGGTTTTGTGGAAGATCTCTTCGTGATGTGTGCTTTGTCGTCTGCGATCAGGTGCTGTCGAGTGAGATGGGAGAGGAGATGAACATGAGCAATGCATCTTCGCTTCTGAACTCGCCCAGTAGCTGGAGAGGAAGGTCCCAGCAGATCTGCACGCTACGCAGCAAGGTTTTCACACTCGCACTTATCTCTCTCACATTTCCTTCAGGCAGTCGCTTTACCAATCCTTGGGATTCAATCTTAACTTAACGATCGTTAACTTAATATCATGATCTCAGTAACGAGTATTGGAGCCTATGCCGATAAACCTTTCACAATTTCATCAAAAACTATTGTAGCATACACCGTCTTTCACTTTTTCATCGACCACCGTCGTCACCACAGGTTGCAGAGCTAAAAGAGAAGTTGAGCAAGCAGAACAATACATCAGTAGACTCCTCATCGAGTCTGGAGCCAGAAAACACAGCAGCAGTGCCATCAGCGGCTGACAGGCACCGCAACCAGCTGAAGAAGACGGAGAGAGAGCAGAAGGAATTGCAGAAGGTGTGATCATGTAGACAACTTAGAAACACTAGAGATGCGAAAAATGTCAATTTGCTATTTTTTTCACGCTAAGCAAAACCAAAGAGGAGACGGAATTCTTGGATGTACTTATCGTAGTATCGTATCGTAGTATCGTATCGTACTCTACTCTACTTTACTCTACCCTAGTCCACCCTACTCTGTTCTACTTTACTCTACTCTGCTCTACTCTGCTCTACTCTACCCTACTCCATTCGACTGTACTGTACTGTATAGATGTGTCCATTCTATTATTGAAACCATCTATCTATCAAACCATTCTATATTGAAACCATCAGGAGAGAGAAAAAACAAACAAATGATTTTAATCACTCCTGATACGACCCATTAAGCTGACCAAAGCTGTGTGAATACTTTAATTGGCGCAGCTAGTAAATGAGAGCATGATGATTACTATAGAGAGCCACCACAGAACTAAAGGCACTCGAAGATGATTATGCGCAGCTGAAGATGAAACTCGATGCACTCAAGGCAAGAAACCAAGTTCTGGGCAGTGAGGTGAAGCAGACGAAATCCCAGATGGCTGTGCTCGTTGAGAAGGGTTGCCATGACAACGAACTGGTCGACGCTCTTATGGTGAGTGTTGGAGATGTATGCCCTCGTGGTGCACGTGGGAGATGTCCGCCCTCGTGGTGCACGTGGGAGATGTCCGCTCAGGTTTCGTGACCATCATTCAGGAATATGCCGAATATTCTGTGCAGGGTACCGCGAAGATCGCCTGTGATCGCTTAACTCTGAGAGCAATAGTTTGATCAATGCATTCCTCGGCGTGTATGCTCCTACACCCCACCTCTCGTTCTTCCGCGCACACAGAAACAGCTGGGACAGCTGAAGCAGGCGGTCGCGGACGGAGCCGAGCTTCAGGCGACGATGCGGGAGGAGCAGCATGCGCAGCTGCAGGACCGGCGGCTGGGGCAGCAGCGCGACGCAGCAGCGGCAGAGCAGCTGAGGACGCTGCTTGCCGAGCGAGAGGACCGAGTGAAGCAGCTCGAAGCACAGCTCAGCGAAGCCAAACAGGGCTTCAGCAAGAAGGTTCGTAGAAGGTTCAGTAAGAAAGTTCGTGGAAGGTTCGTGGAAGGTTCGTAGAAGATTCAGTAAGAAGGTTCGAGGAAGGTTCAGTAAGAACGTTCATGGAAGGTTCAGTAAGTAGGTTCGTGGAAGATTCAGTAAGAAGGTCCGTGGAAGATTCAGTAAGAAGGTTCGTGGCTTTCACAGAAAACGCTTTTTCGTTCCTCGTTATCGCGCGCACGCTCAGATGGCATTGCTATATCCAAAATCTTGTGCGATTCTTTCAGCTGGCTAGTCAGTGCGGTGAGCTAACGTCAGTGTCACACATACCGCTAGCTGTCAGCCGCCTGTCACCAGCTGTCAATGCGGTGTCACCTCAGAATAGGTACGTCACAATTTAGGAATTTATTCAGCTGATACAGTGGTGTTTGCAGCAGATAGGTGATTGGTTAGGAAACATATACGACTCTAGTTAGTCGTAGTTAGTACGACTACGTTAGTACATCTTCGTACGTAGTACTTAGTACGTCTTAGTACGACTCTAAATTAACGAGTAGTTATATTCATCAGTGTTTATCTCTATAGGGCCTCAAATTCAACAAGAAATGGAACCAGTATTTTTTACCAGCTGCATTTCATACTCATCCCATAAATAGAATCGGTATCAATGTAGTTAAACATTGCAGTTCCTCCCGGCAAGGGACGCCAGACAGTTGCAGAATGGCAGCACCAAATCAGACCCAACTAGTCGGAGAAGGGTGAGTAATGCAAGAAAGCAGCAGCATCCCCTCTCTTCTATCTACACCATGGTGCCTAAGCCATGATATTAGTTGCTTGACATCGAATTTATCGATATAATATAAGTGGAGAGAATCCTATCCGATTTTGGACCACTTTAACTAGCGACTGATGCAACAGGTTAATGTGACTATATTCACGCTTGTCATCTGCGTATTTCCGTCTGCAGTGTGGCAGCAGACGCGCTCATGCTGGAGTGTCAGCAATGTTCCATCGTGAGGGAGGCGGCAGCGACGGAGCAGGAGAGGCTGCTGCAGCTGGTTGCCGCGATGCAGAAACGGTGAGGGGGTCACGGGAAGTCGATAGTGATCATTAATTTAGTGTAATTCTACTGCAGCGTGTTTTCTCTCTCAAATATGGTGTGCCATTGTAACGATTGGCCAGCAGATGCATATAGTATTAGTAATACCAATGACCATAGATAGTACAAGTAATCTGTTCTGGGAAAAAACGTTTGTAATGCGAAAATGCAAATTACGTTATTTCATCGCCTTTGATGATATAATGAGAGATACGTAAAATCTTTCAGCTAAAAGACACTAGACAGAGATATATTTTAAAATGAACATATTATTAATTTAATGAAATTATTAGATAATATTATAATTAGATTTAATAAGATATATTTTACAAACAGTAGTTATCAGTCATTTACATTTATTGATAATTTGATACCAATGCATACACCAAGCTACTTGCATGTCACGCTTACAATGTCCTTTACTATAAAAAATACATACATAAAGTAAACAAAAAGTTAAATTGACTGTAACGTGATCACAGGAACGATGACGCGATTAGCAGACAGATGGAGCTGCAGTCGGCCCTGGAGCGCGAGCGACGTAAAGCCGCGAAGGTTGGCGGGCGTGGTCCGGGCGTCGCCGGTACAGGGAGGTCACCCCAGGTGACGCCGACTCGCTCGTCTACCACGACGACCTTCCGGCTGGAGGATCTATCAACCAGGTAAACTTGTGGTTCCGGCAAGCAAGGCGAGACAATGATTCCTCCTCGCAGCGCATTGCACTTCCTTCCATTCTCATCGCGTGTAGTCGTTCAAAAGTCGTGAGAGGTGCCGTGCCCCCTGGGTGGGCCTTCATTTGCAGCCGTTGTTGGCAGCAGACTACTAAGTCTTGTGTGCAGGCAGTTTTTCACAACAAAGTTTATGACACAACACATGCAACACTGGAGAGAAGTTTGACTTTCTATTCAGTTAGTAACCCAGCATAGTTGTCACGTTTTTATCCGAAGCCCCAACGAACGCTACCAGCGTGCATGCTATATGCTACACTACTGCGTACCTTACATGCTACAGTATGAGCAAGGCAAACCACAATAAAATAGATATTTGACGTAAGAGTTACACTCCATGTCAAGTATCGCGTTGTTGTTGTTGTTGTTGTTGTTGTTATTTACACATCACTACAAAGTTGCGGCAGCGCGCCTCGGCCCCGAGTGTTATGCATGCTACTGCGTCGTGCGTCTACGTCGCGAGAAGTCCCGAGTGAGGTTTCCCCATGTTTTTCTTCGCCAGGCTGGAGATCCAGCAGGATGAGAACGCCGCGCTGAGGGAAGCGTTGAGGAGCACGCAGCGTGGCCAGGAGGCAGACCTGCTGCATTATCGTGACGTCAACGACAATATCAAGCGCGTCTTCCTGCAGGGCCTGAAACGCTGCAGGCGCGAGGCGACTTGACGCGAGATCCGCAGCGAGCGAGGGAAGGATCACCTAGACACACTCACCGTCAGAACAGTGCACAGCGGAGTACAGCAACACAGTACAGTACAGTACACTGTATTGTGCAGCAGCAGGACAGTACGAGCGGGAACTGCCTTTCCCTCCCCCGCACGCTGCACTGACGCGGTGTGCAGTGGCGTGCCGTCTCCACGGCTAGGAACCTGCCATAATCTGGCCACGTCAGGAGGACACGCCAGCTCGTTAGGCGTAGCGTTAATTACGACGAGGCTACACACGCTCACGGGTGGTCGCGTTACATCATTGTGCTGTTATGCCGCGTCGATTACGTTGTTGCAGTATTTACAGTGGGTACGATATTACGGTGGTAAATAAAGGTTTAGTCGTCTTTGATCTCGCCTTCGTCTTCACTGCTCTCCTCGTTCAGTTCTTTCTTCTGTTGTGATTTCGCCATCTTGGCAATCACATCTGGAAGAGGAACAATATATAAGGAATGTTTTAAGATGTTTGTAGTATTGTCAGTGGTGTCACCAGCATTGTTAACATACAAGTAGCAGCATTAGGATAGTGTGTACACTCTTACTCGCCAAACATCCATCAATTCAATCACTAACATTATCACTTTCATCAACATCACCATCAGCATCACCTCTATGATTGCTAACATCATCAACATGGTTATCTTTTCTCTAATCATCAAAATCGTCATTATCACCATACTTTACCACCATTACCATCATAATTGTCATCATCATGATAATATAGTGACAGAACGTGTGACCAATGGCACAAGTTATCGGGAACTTGTCTAGCAAATTGAGATTACGTGGTTCGCCGATCACTCGCTCACCTTTTGCTGGATTGAAAACACCACCGGTCTGCGTCCTGCACACGTAACACCGCTGTGACTTTGCGTACTGCTGCAGTGCACACTTCTCGCAGAAATAATGCTTGCACCTGATCAACGAGAAACGTTATCCAATATATATAAAAAAAACACTCGCTCGACTTTCAAAAACTCTGGCAACGGGCAACGAAATGAAACGATTATAATTTCCGCTTCGTACGAGTGATATGAGACTATGCGATGTGAATACTAAGAGCTAACCACGCAGCAGAAACAACTGAGCAGGCGTGCAAGGTCGTAGGACTCACCTTGTGACGACGGGTTGCGTGAACGACTTCCGGCAGATGAAACATTTGAACGGCACGTCGTCACTGTCGGAGTTGATCTCGTACTTGTCATCGGCTGCACATTAAAAACTCGACGTTAATAAGGGGTAGACCAGTGTAGACCGCTTGGCGTTCTTCACTGAGATGAACGACAGGTTTAATGTACCAAAGCTATTATTGTCACCCATACTGACGCGACTGCCGACTTTAGAATCCATACTAAAACTCCTACCTGCGGTTATGAAATGCACTGCATGATCGACATCATCATTCTAACCTCTGTCATAAATTTACGGTTTTTGTCAAGTTATTTTTGATGAGGGTCCCGAAATCTCTGCATTCAATGTTATTGGTTCGTCAAATCACATTGCTACACCATCTGGTGTAAATTCGGGTGAAACTCCTTTGAAGATGACCCACGGGAAAATATCTATAGTAGTTACCTTCGTTTTCGTATCGTCCCTCTTTCCACTCTCGTTCTAATTGCCATCCGTGCTTGTAGTCACTTCTGTCGTGCATGAACTTGCAGCTGTCTGTAGGTATAAAAACTCACGGTTCAGTAGCACATACACCCACACAGCGGCTTAACGGAGCATAACGGATAATGTTTCAGACACGGAGAAGTGACTAATTTGCAATAAAGAGAAAGGTAACAGCTAGTGTTATATCTAGCATATAGTGCCAGATATTGAATTAGATTTAATTTTTTTATAAATCGATGAAACTTCGCATCAAAGCTTCAGTGTAGCCTTAACAATGTGTCACGTCTTGAGTTGACACGAACCACGTCACCAATACTTGCCCACGTTATATGACACGTAACTCAGGAGTTTACGCAGATATCACGACCGCACGGAGGAAGCTTACCGCCGAATCCGCAGAATCCTGTCTCCTTGTAATCCTTGCATATGTCTGGCTGGTAGTCCCACCTCACGGTCGCACGCAGATGTGCAGGCGCTCGGATCGGTCCCTTCCTGCAATCAGGGTTCAAGCTGTCATTCGCTAATTCGAATTAAAGTTGAATTTTGCGAAAAAAAGTCTTCATAGATTCACCAAAAAGATAAAGCTAATTGGACCTTCAGGTTGAACTCAAATTCTACCCAGTAGCGACATCTACAAGCTATTTTTTGACCGATAACCTACAGTGCAGCTACACGATACTGCACGTATATCAGCTACTGTGACACAAGCGTTTGCCCCCACGCGTACGCACACTTCGCAGTTAACCGCACAGTGGTAACGTGGTACTGCATGCATTACCGGCTACTGTGATACAAGCATGGGCCCCACACGTACTTACACTTCTTGTATAACCGTAGCGTGGTAATGTAATGTAGTACTGCATGCTTTATCGGCTATGGTGATTGCGAATGCCACAGACACGGCTCTCTGTTAACATTTGTACAGTGGTTACGTAATACTGCGCATCTATTTGCTATGACTCCAGGCTGGGGAAGCTAGTACGACATACTTGACCAGTGGCAGGGGCTGAGCAGAATCCTTCTGTGGTTTGTAATTTGTGTAGTTGTTCAATCCCCTGTAGACATTATCTTCCTCTTTATCCCTTTGCTCCTGAAAGACGATACACTAGCGTTACTTGGGCAGTTCGGCAAAATTGGATGTGTAGTTGGCCCACTGCACACACCATGCAGACAGGGCCATACATTCACTATGACAACTCATTTTAGCAGGAATCTTATCAATACTAACTTCATAACTCACAACTTGCGACATTAGATATTATACCATGCTTTTCTTTCCCCAGGTTACCGTAAAAATGGGCAGCGTACCATAATTTTTCTGCCACCCTATTCCCTGATATTGCTGTTTGAGACAGCAACCGTTGTACAGCTCTCGGATTCGCTTACCTCATTGATCGCCTTGGCTCTCTCGGCGATGGCAACTGCATCCCGGTCCTTTTCGGTGTCCAGTTCGTACGTTGCTGTTGCTCCCATATCATCCGGACCTGTCCGCTTCTGCGGGTGACAGCAACAACGACAGCTGAGTCGTGTTTCACTCGCACGGATTACTCAGCGGTGTGAAAGCAGATGCCGCGACGCACGCTTACATAGGACAGCGCGAGATCGCAACATCTCGACGATTATACAGCTAAGCTAAACTGAGCCGTTGAGCTTTGAAAAATCAAGTAATATTGATGGTGACTCAATCATCCTCTCCTCATCCTCTTTTTCAATCCCTTGATTTCTGCCTCTCTCTCTCTCTCTCTCTATCTCTCCTTCTCTCTCTCTATCTCTCCTTCTCTCTCTCAACAAACACAAGTGTATGAACTTACTCCAGATCTCGCGGACTTGTAGGAAACTCCGACCGAAGTGTCATCATTGCTTTCATCACTGTCGCTACCATATTTGAACAACTGCTTCTCTGTGCGAGCAGACTGAATGAGAAATTAAACGGTATCAACAATAAGAGACTCCTATCGAACGAAAACAGGAATATCCACACACGTAGATTTGTCTCCATCTAAGATGATAAATACTATTATAAGATTATATACTAAGTTTATATACTTTTCACTAGACCTATTCGATGTTTTTTTCCCAACACAATTGTTAAATTTAATTATTCATTATACATTATTATTCCATTTCGAGGAAAGATTTTAATGGACATCTTTTTCAAAAAAATTTCTGAAATCCTCACACATTTTTTTTCTCATCGCATAAGTGTATTCGTAGTGTATGTATAGTGTATCTTGGAAATCCATTATTCTTATGATGTAAGTTTGATCTTACCCTCTGAATTAAAGGATTACCAAGATCGTGTTTCTTCTCCTTTTTCACTATAGTTGTTTCATCATCACTGCTACCTGAAACAAAACCAATGGAAAAAGTTGCTCCTGGCTCCAAGTTGGCAAAGCAGGCTGGTCTATAGCCAGCTATCACCACCCTGTATCTTAGACTATAGTGTACATGTGCCAGAATCTTTTTGGCCATTCTGGTACATGACTGTTACCGGGGAGATGTGTAGCATAGCATTGTTTAAATGTTTTAATATCCCAGTTAACACGCTTTTCTTTGTTCCCAGCAGTGGTTGGCATGCCGGTTACGCAATACACACATGTGTAACTTAGGCCACCTGCCCATGAAATGATGAACACAGAAAGGACGCGTTTTAGGTTTCCTTTCAGTTTCAGTGTGTTTCACTGACACTGGCAGTTATTGAAAGATTGAAGATTGAAGATTGAAGATTGAAGATTGAAAACAGTTTATTTGTGCATAAGACATACATAAATACAGAGTACATCGTTATAAAAGAAATAATTACATGTAGAAGTACAATTTTAATCAGTTTAAGCACGGGAGTGGCGAAGGACACTTAAGTCATCTAGTCTGCCACCCCCAAGAGTAGATTAAACGTAAAGCAGTCGAGTCGTTATTAATATTAGTTAATAGTTATAGACAGGATAGGTATCGGCAGAATCTTTTGTATGCCCACCTAAACATTAGATATATTTTGATGTCTTAAAAACATTATTAGTTATGTAAATGACTAAGGTAATGACTTAGCTGACTAAACATTAAAACAAATATTTAATACCCGGTGTTGTATTTTTGTAAATAAATGGAGTTTAGCCTAGGAGTAGGATGAATTGACAACTCGTCGGCATCTATACCATATTGCGATGTAGTGTCGTAAACAGTAGGTTTACATAAAACTATATTACAAACCTGAACTGTGACTCTTCCGTCTTTTTCGCTGTTTGATCGATTTATTTGTCTTTTTAAACGAAAACGTACAAACTTTAGTAGGGTTCACTTCGCCGTCAGCCATGATTGATTTATGACTGACTACAGCGCCACCTAGCGGTCGCCACCGAAAACTTTTCATGGTTCACTGCGTGTTTAGTATAAGTAGTATTTAGTAACGGTTCACGGGTTTTTTAGGAACTAATCGCGCGCGCGTGTTTATAAAGGTTAGGGCCGTCACGCGGCGTGAACACGAACCCGGTCATTGGTCCTAGCCGAAAACTTGTTCCTAGTAGCAACCGTGCAGATCCCTGATGAGAGCAGATTGTGCTCATTACACAAAGCATACGGATGTGAAGGAAGTTACGCTATGGTTCGGAAGACACGTACGTCAACCAGCGACTATATCTGCAGTGTATTTACTATTTACCATCGTACATTCAGACCGCACTCCGCCGCGCACTAGCCAGTTATTGTCCGTAACGGTGTGCGATACAGAATGCTGGAAGCTTAGGAAGGACACACGCGGGAAGGGACCACGTCTGCCACGGCCACACACATACGGCACCGCTCGCTATACGCGTCTCTATCGCCATGCGCATGCCGTTACTTCCTCGTCGTCGGCGTATCGGCATCGTTCGGCTCTGCATATCTCGTCTGCTAATTCCCGCCATCTCGTTTACGTGCGTGCTGATAGTGTACGCGGCGAGCGGCGGCGGTGACGGCGGCGGTGCTCTCCCGCCCGTGCGGCAGTACGACACGTTCGAGGAGGCAGCCCGCGCGATTGCTGCCGACGGCAGAGTCGTGGCGACGACTGTCGTTAACGACGCCTTCGTGCCTCTCACGTTCAACTGGCTGTGCAACACCAAGGACATGGGCGTGCACGAGAGCGTGGTTCTCGTCGCCACCGACAGGGAGGCGTTTGCGAAGCTGCGTCGGCACTGGCCGCGCGTCGCCAGCGTGCTGCTCGACCTGGGTGACGATATGCGTCGCACGCACCTGTTCGGCGACGTCGGCTACGAGAAGCTGATGATCAAACGCACCGAGTTTATCAACGCAGCGCTGCAGGCAGACGACGCGCGCGTGTTGCTGTTCGAAACAGACGCCCTATGGTTGCGAAACCCGATCGCCGAGCTCGCGCGCGGCAGCAACGCTTACGACATCCTCGTCGCGCTGAACCGACCGAACGGCGAGATCGCCGGAAACTTCCTCTACTTCCGGCCGACGCCGAAGACGAAGCTCTTCTGGGCCGAGAAGACGCGCCTGATGACGTCACAGCTGGCGGGATTCGTCGGCAAGCGTAGCGACGACCGCACGCCGGAGAACGATCAGAAGTACGTGACGAAGCTGCTCGCAGCTCGCTACGCCGACGTGCTCGTCGCCGTCTGGCCGCTGGAGCGCGTGCAGACGGGCCGCTGGTACACGCGGCAGACGGTGCGAGCCAAGCCGACGCTGCCTGACGTCATCAACAACAACTTCGTGCGCGGAATCGCTGCCAAGGAGACGCGCGCCAAGAGATGGCGCCACTGGTTCCTGCGAGACGACGGAGTGACGTGTGATGGCGCGCAGGTGGAGCGCATTCTGACGCTCGGCCCGCGCGCAGACGAACCACCAGACGAACCGCCATGGCCGTAACCATGGCAGCAGTTGTAGTTGTAGCTAAACCTGTGGCTGTAGCTATATGGGTAAAACTATAGCTCTAGCTGAAATTGTAGCTATGGCTGTAGTTAAACCTGTAGGTGTAACTATATGGCTCAAATTGTAGCGATCGCTGTATAGCTACTACGGCTGTGACGGCATGTGGCTCTAGCTGTAACTGTGGGGGCGTCTGTATTATATAGTTGTAGCTGTAGTTGTAGTTGTGGCTGCGTTGATAGTTGCGGCTGTGAATCAACAATTTTTACAGCTATGCACAATGTAGCACAAGTTTTCAGCATAATACGTACGGTCTCTATAAACATATATACCAGGAGCGTATAATGACAAATATATACGCTCCTGTCATATTACGCTCCTGATATATACAGACAATGATCGTTGATCACATAAGTACCTGAAATCAGCGCAATTTATAGTTTTGTTTTGTCCTATTAATTATTGTTTTGATATTCATTAGCTATATATATATATATATATACGGTTGTAATTAAGCTATCGTGACGGTTACTGCACATTTTACACAGTTTTCAGTTTCAACAGTTGATAGGGAAGTAAGCTTAGGCCTAGGGGAGGTTTTTTGTATAATACAACGGTTTTGTTCAACTGTATGCGATGCAGTGCGGGCGTGATGTTTTGACATCATATGTATGTTATCCATTATTAAAATAGTGATATTATTCATATAATGGGTTACGCAACGCATGAATCCTTCCTTTCAGTGTTAATGTTATGTATGTGTTCAATATTTTTAGTGTTAAATTGTTTGCTGTACGCATGAATAAAAACAAGCGAATACGCTGCTAGTTGTTTGTTACCATATTGTTGTTGACTACGCTTAGTTCCTGTGGCTGTTCGCCATTCCTAGTGCTGCTATTGATTGGAGATTGGACTGGGACATGCTTTATTATCGTCATTGCATATGCGTTTCGAAAGCAGCGCGTTTCATAAAATGAAACCAAATAAGTTCGTGCCATGTGCGGACATGCTTGTTTGGTATCCAGATGAGACGGGATACCGGAGAAGTGTTGCCGAAAGGAGATCGTTGATAGTTGATCCTAACCGCTGAGCACGGATCTTGCGCGCAGTTCCGCGGCAAGGCGCACGGGACCGCGGGAACGTCCTACGACAGTATGCAGCGCGTGCCATGTGCGGACATGCTTGTTTGGTATCTAGTGGTTTGATCGTCGCGTCAGCACTGTAAAACGATACCGTCTCGCGCATAAGCAGAGTAAACAATTAGTAAAATAATATAAAATCTTTTCACATTACGCGCCACATCTACTTACAGATCTCGTTGCAGGTTCGTATATGGATAAATATGCGCGCACACACGCATGCGCACGCATACCCTAAACGCTATATTTCTTTCGCACCATTCCTTGTATAGTTACTAGGAGAGCTGAGCCCTGACAGAAGCGAACGAGGCATGGAACACAGATTCTATCCAGAGAGTTCGTTGCAGAATTCGCAAACCTGTGGAGCTATATATAATATAATATAATAAAATAACAAACGGTGTTACAATTAATTAATATGCAATTAAATATGCATAGTATTATTGTGATAAAAATATATAGTTTAACTCTGGTTGGATAAGACTACAGTTTTCCGGAATTATAATATATATATATAATCAAGTCGCATTTTTTGTTTTGTTATATTCCTTGGGTTATGGTTGGTTTTAGCAGCACACGTTCTGGTAGCCACTAGCTTGAACGCATAAAAACGGCCGACGAAAATTATCTTGGCAGTCAACGGTGATCGACGCATGAGCGCTATCTTCACGTACATTAATATAGGCATTGCAAGAAAAACCACAAGTTAATTATCATAGAGATTGTTATATATAGCACCTATGAACAAGTTGTCGGTTTGACTGTTTGTGTGTTTGATACTAATATGTGCCAAATTATTTCATACAGTCCGGTGTGAAGCAAGAAGTGAAACAGGAACCAAAGTCAGAGACATCCCCGTACCCAGGGAAGTCTGGTTCAGCCTCTTCCAGCCCGGGATCTGGGAAGGGAACAGGCAAGGGCATGGGCACCGGATTTGGCAAGGGCTTGGGAAAAGGCGGTGGTAAAGGCGGCGGTAAAGGCTGCGGTAAAGGCGGCGGGAAAGGCAGCGGGAAAGGCAGCGGCGTAGCGGCCAGCTTTGCTACGGGAATCAAAATCGAGCCGGACGTACAGGTGAGTAGAGGAGACAGGTAGTCTTGTCCGCAGATCAATCATCACTCACAGAGCGTGCAGCGACGCATGTGTGAAAATGTGCTACATGTAATCGTATGCTATATAATAATGTACTAATATATAATATATTAGTATATATATATATATATATAATATATACTATATAATACTAACGTAATAAAATAATGTGATAATATTATGTATGTGACTTGCTGCGATGTTGTGCATTAACGATGAATCCGGTAACGTTGGTAACGTGCAGCCGTCGTCCTCATGTTCTACTACATAGTGTAAACCAGTCCTCCTGCCTGACCCACCTCACGCCAGTGTCAGCGTGACATCGCCCGTCAGGAGACCCCCTAACCTCATCGGATGATTCCCTAACGAGCGATCAACATCGTCCATCTGATGATTACCTGACGAGCAATCGTTTGTGTGTGCGGTAGCTGCCTCACAGTCGTTCCCACTCCGACGCTAATCACGAATCGTTGATTTCAGATCAAACAGGAGCCGAACACGGAGCAGAGGGAGGCGCGGGCTGTGCCGTGTGCAGCCGCAAAGGAAGGCGGCGTGGCAGTGAAGGAGGAACCGGGGAAGGCGACGGGCGGGAAGGGGACGGCCGTCAGCGTCAAGTCGGAGACGGTGCAGGAGACGCCGAGACTGAAACCCAACAAGAAAGGTGAGCAGCAGCAGCAGCAGCAGTAGCAGCAGCAGCAGCAGCAGCAGCAGCAGCAGCAGCAGATTGGCAGTCAACGGTGATCGACGCATGAGCGCTATCTTCACGTACATTAATATAGGCATTGCAAGAAACTTAAGGCGTGATGCTGCGAGCAAAGTGAATATTTTAGATCGGATTTTACCCTGCACACGTGATGGCAGCCCGCCCACGACTAGCTTGAACGCATAAAAACGGCCGACGAAAATTATCTTGGCAGTCAACGGTGACCGACGCATGAGCGCAATCTTCACGTACATTAATATAGGCATTGCAGGAAACGTAGGGCGTGATGCTGCGAACAAAATGAATATTTTAGATCGGATTTTACCATGCACACGTGATGGCAGCCCGCCCGCGACTAGTTTGAACGTATAAAAACGAGCGAAGAAAATTATCTTGACAGTCAACGGTTACTGAAGCATGAGCGCCATCTTCACGTACATTAATATAGGTCTAGCAGGAAACATATGGCATGATACTGCGAGCAAAGTGAATATTTTCGATCGGATTTTACCATGCACACGTGCTGGCAGCCCGCCCGGCTCCAGTTTGAACGTAGGAAAACGGCCGAAGAAAATTATCTTGGCAGTCAACGGCGACCGACCGTGACGTCGGAGGGCCATTTTCGTGTATCGTTGCGCGATGCTGCGAGCAAAGTGAATATTTTAGATCGAATTTTACCATGCACACCGTTAGTGAAGATTTGGAATACATTTATTTTTCTGTTACAAGGTTTAATTAAATATTTTACGGTACGTGCTTATTATGTTGGCTTCGTTTCCCTCTGCAAAATAAGTGCGCAATTAGAGGAAAACAATAAATCAACATAAAATTTACAGCTTTACACACCTGTTTTTTTTAAATTGATAAAATATTAGTTTTGGATATATCGCATATATTTTCCTCTTTGGCCGTCAACAGCAACATCGTTCCTGCCACGGCCACCATGGGGATCTTTAACAAATCCCATGATGCTGAGCGCCCCGTAAATCTTCGCGAATGACGCATTTACCGCAGTGGCCAATAGGAGGCATCGCTAGCCTTACTCGTACAATTCCGGAAACCTTCGTTGTTTTCTGTAGCGAGCGAAAGTTTTCCATCAACAGTCGCCATTTTTGTGAATTTTCGCATAGCTAAGTGAATATTTTGGCAGCATGATGGCACCTGTGTGACATCATAGACATACACAATGAGATTTTAGTGAAAAACGTGTATCAATCTACGTGAATGGGGAAGAACATTGACGTTAAGATGTGATCAGCGTTCATGATTCGGTGGTCAATATCATCTGTTCGGGCCAGTGAAAAAACGGAGCAGAAGACGTCCTCCTGGACATCTCTTATAGTCGTTCAAGATAGTATTAATTATGCTCAAAGTCTTGGAAGGTGGTGACATCATATTGTCATCATCAGCTGGTGTCAATTATTGGCAACCTTTCCGGGGGTTTGACCAAGTATTAATTGGCCACAGGCCGAATTTCGGTTGATCGTGATTTGTTTTTAAAATGGGTGAGCCTCATATCGATGGACCACCACCGAACAAGCGGGCACGAGTGTCTTCACCTTTATCAATGCCCAACAGCGGCAGCAATGCTAGCGGTAAGATGTTTTCATATATGATGCATAATCTGCACTGCTATTTGTATATATGTCTGTTATTAGGCATACTACTAATACTGAAAATCAATTCAAATCAGTTATCACATTTTGATGAATTGGGAAAAAGCATCATAAACAACTTAATATATTTCGATTTGCCATCATGAGATGGCTGTGGTAATAGAAGTAGCAGTTCGCAGCAATGTCATATATTATCATTTTATATCTTACAAGTCAGTTGCCGGCGATAACATTTTTATTACTGCAAAACTTATACTCGCCCATTTCATTCAACAGATTTCAACTTCATGTTGGACCTGGAAAAAGAACTTCCAGATGAGATAATGGGTGGTATGCCGGACATCGGACCTGGTAGTGTTGGCAGTAGCACTAGCAGCAATCACGATTTGCCTAATGGACTAGTGCAGCCAATCGCACCTCAGCTAGACAATCCGTCGCAGCTATCTCAAATGACACGGGTGAGAGCTGGAGGAATGGTCAATGCGAAGAACTATAATGCTTCCAGCCCTCAGCAAGTGTGCGGACTGTCGCCGGCTCCTAGTCCCCATAGTTTAGGTGGTGGTGGGATGCAGAAAAGTCCAGGAGCCGGTTCGAATGCCCTTACGTCGCCGCCACCGAACGTTATGATTAGTAGGTCGGCTACTCCATCCAGCTCACCTTATGGCATCAACACAAACAGTGTGCACATGAGTGAATCGATGGCAAGCCTATCCAACTGTGTCTCCAATATAGAATACTCGATGTCCGGTGTGCCGTCAGTGAATGGCAAGCAACTGAATGTTGCCAGCAGTATAAGTGGTGCTACAGGTGCTAACCAAGTGCAATTGCCAAATCACATGATGAACGGTCCAGTTGTGAGTGGTGGAGGCTTGAGACCTGGCCTGGTGCGTAATATCCCTGTCAGTTCAGCAGTGTCATTAGGACCTAACAGTGTTATGGGGAACATGGCTTTTGCTCAAACGCAGCCACACGGAACCACTCAGATACCTGGTCAGGTATGGCTGCCACTTATTTATCGAGGATTTACGAAGATTTGCAAAAATGCTACGTTTGCTTGTCGTACTGTAAACGTTCCTCATAGATGAACTTACTATTTCACCGAAGTTATGGTTTAAGAAGTTTGAGTACTCGCTAAGGGATTATTGCTCATACTTTATATTTTATCTTACAAGTGTATAATATTAGCATTTCGAATTTGGTTGTCTACCATTTTCAATATTTATATATATGCAGCGTGTGCACAATGGTGTGTGTGAACTTATTATATTAAAACTCCTAAAAGTATTTTTATAAAAGGCCCGAGCATGTGCAATAAAAATTGTTTATTATAAAGCACAATACATTATATTATGTAACACTTTTGTACTGGCAGAGAGGAGAGCAAGAATATTATTAGCAGCAGAATTAATTCCTTGAACATTATCTACTGGGAACGCAAACCATGTATCATTTTCGAATCGTTCCATAAGCGTCGCCACCTAAGCATTGTCTACGATTTGCTGTTACAGGCACCAGTGAACAGTTTATCACCAAGCACGCTGCCGTCAGGCATGGCAGGCAATAATAATCCCTACAGCAACACCATTCCACCAGCGATGAGGAACCCCGCAGCACCCAGGCAACAGGCTCCGGGCATGCAAGGTCCTAATGCAATGCAGCAGACCCCTGCAGCACAGCTCGGCCAGGTAAGGGAGCATGGCTTCTTCAGGCCCCGCGAGGTAAAAATACACTTTAGTATTCAACTGGAAGACAGATAGGTACTAGCAATGTCCAAGGATTCTGTGCTGGGAGACAGATGGGTCCTAGCACTGTCTAACGATTCTGTACTGGAAGACATATGGGTACTAGCAATGTCTAAGGATTCTGTATTGGGAGATGGATTAGCACTAGCAATGTCTGAGGATTTTGTAATGAGAGACAGATGGGTACTAGCAAAATTACTTATCTTGTCATTATACTGGAACATGGGACAATTTCTAGTCTTTCCACACCAATGAACCAGTCCAGCAAATCAGTCCTGATAAGCAGTTGCATCCCTATACCATATAGAATATGGAGTTGCTAACATGCTGCTATCTACCGTATTTTACGGGGCTGCGCGGCGATACCATATCAAGACGTTTGTAGGCGCCATATCAGCTGAGTATCGTGGATGCTCTCTTGTCTGCAGGCGCAGGAGGGTGCGGCAGGAAGTCAGCCGAGGCCTCCTGTGCCGCCGGGCGCTCCTGGCCCGACCCAGACAGCTGACCCAGAGAAACGACGTCTCATTCAACAGCAACTGGTGCTGCTGCTGCACGCGCACAAGTGCCAGCGGCGCGAGCGAACCGATGACGGACAAGTGCGCGTCTGCAACCTGCCGCACTGCAAGACGATGAAGAACGTGCTCAACCACATGACGACGTGCCACGCTGGCAAGGCTTGCCAAGGTACGGGCCCCCACGCCGCGCGCACGCAGACTAGCGTCGGATGCTGCCTCTGCTCCGTGTGCATCCTCGTCAGTTCTAAAATGTCTGTGAGGAGTTCTGAGGACCTTCCTTGTTGAAGTTCAACTTATCTTTTAGATTTTCTAAAGAGAACAATAGAATATTTATTGATGGAGTTTTTTCCTCTATATAATCAGATGTGTGTTACAAACTAAATCGTGTCGTCTGTCGCAGTAAACTGTAATTTTGTAATTTGTATTTCTAAGTTTCTTTCTCAGAGAGTAAGGTGATTGTATGGTGCTATTAACACTGTGTTAATAGATGTGCATGTGTGAGATGTGTATGTGTGAGATTTACCTGAACCACTTCATTGCAGTTGCTCATTGTGCCTCCTCACGGCAAATCATTACTCACTGGAAGAACTGCACGCGACAAGACTGCCCTGTATGTCTGCCTCTAAAGACAGCCAACGACAGAGGGAGAACTCAAGGTATTATATGTGTGTGTGCGTGCGTGCGTGCGTGCGTGCGTGCGTGCGTGCGTGTGTGTGTTTATATATATATGTATAAATAAATACACATACATATTTATATACATATATATCTATATATATAATTATATATATATATTATTATATAATATTGATCCCCCTAGAGTTGAAAGAACATTTCACTATTTCTTTGATCTAAGCAAGAATTGAGCACTGTATTGTTGTGGAATAATGTAATAGTCCATTGTCCCGCTTCGAAACATTGTCGAAGACTATCTGGACGGAATTTGTCTGGTATGAAATCGCTAGCGTTGATAAGATGGAGGTGACGCGGTCATCGGTTGAGAGTGAACGAGCAGTCCAGGTGTGCTGTTGTGTGATAAGGTGCCAGGCTGCCAGCAGGCTCCAACCCGCACGTCTCAGCCCGCCGCCGCGCCGGGACGTCTTCGACTGTGGACGCCGCCGCCATGCAAGACTCGGCATATCTACCGCCAGCGCCACCCACTCATCGACTCGTGCAGCTAGCCGAGAGCCGCCGCGACGGTCGGGCCCATCCGTCAGGCACCGCACAGACGACGGCCGTCCTCCGTCGCCGCATACGGCGAGATGGGTGAGGAAGCCGCAGGTCGGCTGTTCGATGTTTTAAATGGCAAAGGTGATGTTTGCCGATGGTTCAGCAGGGCGGCCCAGGTGGGACATTTCCTTCGAGGACAGGAGGCACAAGCGCCACTTGCACTGTACTTAATCGAGCTTCACGTAGACATGTACAAGAATTTTGAAATTCATGGAAGGCTGCACGAGCGGCAGCCAGGTGGGGCAGCCGCGAATATTTAAGCTTGGACCATCATTGAAATCTTTGTGAAAGATTGCATTAAGGGGCAACCAACAGCCCTTGCTGTCAGCACTGTGGGTAAAATTTGATCACCGGGAACAGCGACCCGGTGGAAATAAGCAGATCTGGCCGTCGTCCTCCATTTTTCGCTCGTAGACTGAAAAGATCGTCGGTCCGCGTTTGCGCAGTATCTTCTGAGTGTCACAAGGAGATGCTTGTAAATACCGTCTGCAGTATCACGAAAACGATTTCAGAGCTGCGCATAGCTCTGCGTGATGGAGTATGTGCGAGGCAGCTGTTCATTTAGCACGAAACCGCAGTAAGAATCGTCGAATCTTGAGCACATCTTATTATGGCCTCGGCGGATCTAAGAGGCGATATTGTTTATCTGGCGGGCAGTTCTGTCTCGAAGTTTTTAGCCGCGTCTTCTCTTTCGTCGTACTTTTTTTGATGCTTGGTAACAGCAGCTATGCCAGCTTAAACTGTCGCGGAGTGTTTATAATGCTTGGCCGCAGCCGCTGTTAACTGTTCGCTTGTCTTTTAATGAAGGTGGCTGCAGTGCGGATGTGGGTCCGCTCTTCTCATCAAGTCCGAGTGCCGAGGTGCACGCGGCGCCGCGAGTATGCACCTCTGCTGGCACGGCTGCGTCAAGCAGCGTTCTTCTGTGGAGGCACAGTCGGTAAGGGCCACACTGTTCTATGATGGCAGCCCGACGGGCGGATGTGGGAGTCCGTGGTGCCACTGGTGACTGTAGCCCGACGGGGAATGTGGGAGTTCGTGTGCCACTGTGATGTAGCCCAACGGGGATGTGGCCACTGTGATTTGTTAGTGTGTGATTTAGTCGAGATTTGTAGATTTAAAAGTGAATTGCTTAGTCAACATTTTCACACAAACAGTGTTAGGCGATCTAGTGGGGAATCATTCTTGCTCCAATCATGTAAGGTAGGAGTCCGTTTTCCGCTGTATCAACCGGGAGAGGCACAACTCGCTCTGATAATCATTGCCCTAGTGTGATCGCCTTAACGTAAGCAGCGAACCTCTGCGTTTGAGATATCTCGCCCAGATACGCCCCCACGCACTCGGCGGCCCGCCTTAACAGATAAGGCAGCGAACAGCCTCTGCATTGAGATCTTCGCCCATACGCCTAAGTTAGCAGCGAACCGTTGCACGTTAGTAGCAGATAGGTCTCCAGCCCAGATACGCCTTAACGTAAGCAGCGAACCTCTGCATTTGAGATATCTCGCCCAGATACGCCTTAACGTAAGCAGCGAACCTCTGCATGTGGAGGATACTCTCCCCCATGATCGATACGCCTTAACGTAAGGCAGCGAACCTCCGGCATTTTGAGAGTATGCTTGCGCCAATGAACCGCGTTAACATGTAACAGCGAACCTCTGCATTTGAGATATCTCGCCCAGATACGCGTCATCTCGCGGTCGAATCTCGCAGTCGCCCCCGCGCACCAAAACACGACATAACACGGGCGAATTTCAGGGAGTGAAATCCCAGATTTTGCAGGCATGGCGAAGAGTCTGGCGTCGCAGGCCGGCATGCCGCTGCGGCCAGCCGACCGTCCAGCCAGCGCTGACCGCCGGCCGCGAGTCTCAATTCCTTGGTGTCTGTGCGCGGTGACAGACGAAGTGGAGGGGGTTGTGCGCAGGCTGTGTGCTCCGGTGCGCTGGGTCTGTGGTGTAGCGCTGGGCGTACTGCGTAGTGTGAGGTGGGCGGTGAGTAGGTGCGCCATCGCCTCGGCGTCGTCGCACTCCGACAGGTCCGATGAGGTCCTGTGCAGGTGTGCACTCAGGCGGTGGCTCTGTGACACAGGACCTGCGAAACCACCTCGTGCACAAGCTGTGAGTGTCGACGACGCGGGGATGGCTTCACGTACTCACACACTACACAGCGCCACTACTCCACACAGGGTCTGTACACACACTACAGGCCACAGCACGGTAGGTCGGACACACAGGTGCACACTACAGATACACACCGCGCGAACTCAACACACCGGTGCACACACAGCTACAAGTCATCGCCAGGCGTACTCACCACACGGCTTACACACAGCTACCACGCACGTAGGTCACACCATGCTTGACACAGCCTACAGCACGCGCCAGGACTGACACACGTGCACAACAGCGACCTTTAACCCAAAAGACAGCACGTGACTCACACAGGGCTAGCACACACTTAGCACACGCGCGGTACTCACCACAGGCTTACACACACTACACACGGCACGTAGTCACAACAGGCTGTATCACACAGCTACACCGGCACGTGACTACAACGACAGACGGCTGCCACGAGCACCTACACACGCGCGTGAGCTGCCCGACACGTGCACACACCGAACTACACAGTGCGCGTAGTCCACACACCGTGCAGCCACACGTACACTACACAGCGGGCGCGTACTGCCCACAGGCTTACACCACACTACCACGTCACGTACTCAGCCAGCTGGCTTGACACCAACACATACACACAGCGACGGTACTCAACACAGGCTTATCGACACGATAGCGAGGTCGGCACGGACTCACACAGGCTTAGCACACACTAAAGCACGCACGTACTCACAAGGCTTAAGGCACCCTACCACACACGTACTCGACACAGGCCTTACAGCACGAACTGACACATGCGGTACTAAACAGGCTTACACGCCCAACCCATAGACTACCCCCCGGACGCGCGCCGGCGCGCCGCGGCCTACACACGCGCGTGACTCACACACGTGCACGCCTAGCAGCACGACACGTACTCACCAGGCTTACCCACACACTACACGTGCACGTACTCTGATATAGGTTTACACACCACTAAACAGGCGCACGCATGCTCATCGACACTTCACACATGCGTGCGCTCCTAGCGTGTCGCTCAAAGCATGCGCACGTAGCAGTATATGAGCATGTCAGCATACTAGGTCTGCAAAGTACGTCCTAGGTTGATCATCAAAATGACATAACTTTTCGAGATAACAAGCCAGACGCTAGAGGAGGAGGCGGGGGGAGGAGAGGGGAGGCTAGCATCAACCTTGCTTTCAGGTCCACTGAGGAGATACAGTGTGGCAATAACACATGGTTGTTTGCTTGTGTAAAATGAGCTATCACAACAAATAAACACCATTATAAATAAGTAGCGGCCGAGCCTTTCGTCAGTACTGCGAGAATGACTTCATGAGGTGATGTGGTACCCTGTCGTGGCGGTATGCTGACCAGGTTCTTGTTTCTGCTATCGAGGGTGCAGGCGATATTTCCGACGCGGACCCCAGCGGCGTTGCATGATCGCCGATGATCAACCTAAGTCGCGTTACGCTCGGCAAGTCGAGGGGACATGTATGAGAGGCCACCAGCAGGGTGAGTGTCCGTCCTCGCGGCGTGTGGTGAACCTGTCATTTCATGTCTAGCCTGTTTGCTGGCTATTGGCCTTTGACTATCCGTAGACGCTTGTTACGTTACCAGATGCCAAGCGTGTTGTGTCGTGGTACTGAACTGTTGCTGTGAATACCTATTTTGTTGCTTATCTACGATTAGTTCCTGTTGTTTTTCTACGTAGTTGCTCTGCGTTACCGTAACGCTTGTTTTGTTGTGACGTTTTTTCGTTAAAGTGTGGGGGTATAATACCTATTTTTGTTGTTACGCAAGTTGTTCTGTTGGCCTACTATTTGTTGGCTACCTACATTTTGTTGGTTATCTACATATTTTCTTGGTTTTTAGCTGGCGATTGACCTGTTTTATTGTTTACTTACTTATGATGTGATTATTTATGTACTATCTGGTTATTTATATTTTCCATTTGTTTTTCACCTTTTTCTGGTCACTACATACCTGTTCTATAGACACCGTCTGTTTTCGTACCTATCCCTATATTCTGATAGATGTAGCTAATCGTAATATTGCATGCCTGTATGCTGGTATACGTTCTCGGGGCATGAAATTGTAGCCAAAAATGTGACACGCTCCAGGCTTTTACCCAAAGTTAACCAGGCCCTTAGACAAATTGAACAGGCCCTTACAAGATAAGCAAAATTTTGAATAAGCCAAGTGGACTGATTATGTGGGGGGGTTGAACCCGGCGGCCACCGGGCAAAATAACACTAATTTCGCGCACTGCGCTCTGTGGTTAAGTGCTGCTGGATGTTAACTAAACTGTGGTGCGGGGTGAGTGATGCGCCTCGTCATGCGCGTCCTCACGTGTCTTCTCTTCGTCCTCTCCCCTTCGCGCAGGAGGAGTACTACCAGCTGCTCGCCGAGAAGATCTACAAGATACAGAAGGAGCTGGAGGAGAAGAGGATGAATCGCATCAGCCGAGGCCCAGGTCAGCAGCTACCACAGCTTCCTTCCCGCATCACGGCTCCGAGTGAGTAGCAAGCCCCCGCGTGCGCGTCACGCTGCACCACGGCAGCTCGCGTCCGAGCACGGCTTCGCTCTCCCTTTTCAGCTGCTTCGTGCGCTTGTGTGTCTGGCAGCTGCAAACAGGCGGTCAGGTGTTACAGACATACGTACAGGCAGGCAAGCAGGCAGACAGGCAGGCAGACATACAGGCAGGCAGGCAGGCAGGCAGACAGGCAGACATACAGGCAGGCAGGCAGGCAGACAGACATACGTACAGGCAGGCAGACAGGCAGGCAGACAGGCAGGCAGGCAGACATACGTACAAGCAGGCAGGCAGGCAGGCAGGCAGGCAGGCAGGCAGACAGACATACGTACAGGAAGGCAGACAGGCAGGCAGGCAGACAGACATATGTACAGGCAGGCAAGCAGGCAGACAGGCAGACAGGCAGACATACAGGCAGGCAGGCAGGCAGACAGGCAGGCAGGCAGGCAGACTTATGTGCATCGGTTACTGGTCATGGGGTGGAATGAGTTTCGTTAGTGTACCACGCATGTGGAACAATGCGGAATCTAATGTTTTCTAGAATGCATGTTTGTTGTAATATCACTGGTCGGTCGCCTGTCTAACGAATCGAACACACCTGCACGAGTGCATCATCGAGAATACATGTTTGTTACGATACAACCGATCGTTTGTCTAACGAATCGAACACACCTGCACGAGTGCATCATCGAGAATATTTTGTGACATTGTCTACGTAACGAATCGAACGCCTACACATCTTGCGAGAATAAAATTTTCCACTGATGTCGCCGGTGTTCTTGCGCGGTGTTTTGCAGATGGCGGCGGAGCGGACGTGGGGGCGCTAGCAAGCGGCTCGATGCTGGGCGCGGGGGTGCACGCGGGCATGACCGTCTCACAGCTCGCGCACAACCTGCTCGTGAACAGCCCCGGCGTGTCGCAGCCTCCCCCCGTGATCTCATCGTCGCCGTCGCCACCGGCGACGGCCGGCTCACACGCCCTCACCACGGTGACGGCGAGCAGCCAGATGAACGGCCTCACCACCAGCACCAGCGTTAACGGCGTGCCGGGCGGGCAGACCCGCGGGCAGGTGAACGGGGTGGAAGGCAGCCCGCGTGCGACCGCCGCCGCCGCTGTTGCCACGAAACTGCCGAACAATCAAGTAAAGGTAGGTTGTTTACGTTGTGCTGTGTGTGTGCGTGCGTGCGTGCGTGCGTGTTCAAATTCCCATTAGGAATGTGCTGCTGAGTTGACCACCGCTGAATTCATTTGCGCAGAATGCGGGGGGAAAAAATCGCAAAGACCGTGCAAAGAGTTTGTTAACAGACCAGGTAATTCTGGCTCGAAATAGTGAATCGCTTAGAAGACTGAGCGTTGGTTGAACGTAGAGAAAGCCGTAGTTTATACCCATCATATTTCGATGAATATTACGATGATGTATGAAATATTATATGACAATATGATTCCAAGTGCTATTATTAGTGGTAGTAGTTACAATAGAATTTTATTAAGTCTAGTTGTAAGTACGTGACATAGGTCCTTCAGGCGACACAAACATCATCCCAAAACTTCGGTTCGCGCCGAGTTGGGATGCACTGTCGTCGTTGTCGCACGTCCCTTACGTTGTTTCTCTGCTAGACGGAGCAGCTAACTCTGCAGCAGCAGCTTCAGGGGCGGTTCCCCACGTCACAAGCCCAGCAGCTAGGGGAACAGTCCAGTGTTCACAGTCAGGGCCAGGTGCAGGGAAACCCTTACACCTCAGGTGAGTGCGTGCGACTCGTGCCGAACATGATGGGGACAATGAATAGGGCTCTGCTTGGTTGGAAATGAGATAGAGAGAGAGAGAGAGAGAGAGAGAGAGAGAGAGAGAGAGAGAGAGAGATGGGGAGGGAGGAGAGAGAGAGAGAGAAAAGGGAGTGAGAGGGAGAGAGAGTGTGAGAGAGAGGGGTGGACCATGTATTTCTTGGAACATGTTATAAAAACCGCTATTTTGTCAGGGTTTGGGTTGGTCGCATTACTATGTTGAGTGCCGTTTTATGTTGACCACGTAAGAAAAACCACAAGGATTAATGTATCATCAGAATTGTTAATAATAGCCCACCTATGAACATAGTTGTCGGTTGACTGTATGTGCTGTCTTGATACTAGTATGTGCCAAATTATTTACATCAGTCCGGTGTGGAGCAAGAAGTGAACAGGAACCAAAGTCGAGACATCCCTACCCAGGAGTCTGGTTCAGCATCTTCCACCCGGTATCCGTGGGAAGGGAACCGGCAAGGCATGGGCACCGACTTGGCCAAGGCTTGGGAAAGGGCGGTGGTAAGGCGGCGTAAAGGCTGCGGAAAGCGGCGCGGAAGAGCAGCGGGAAAGGCAGCGGCGTAGCGGCCAGCTTGCTACGGGAATGCAAAATCGAGCCGGACGCAGGTGAGTAGAGGAGACAGTGTAGTCTCTGTCCGCTAGATCAATACCTCCAGAGCGTGCGCGCGACGCATGTGTGGAAATGGCTACATGTAATGTATCTATAAATACATATGATATAATATATGCAATATAATATTAGTATCTATATATATATAACTATATATTAATAACGTAATAAATAATGTGAATAATATTATGTATGTGACCTTGCTGCGTGTGGCATTAACGATGAACGCGTCGTAACGTTGTAACGTGCTAGCTGCTCGTCGTCGATGTTCTATCCAGCCACATGTAAACCAGTCTCCTGCGCTGAACCCAGCCTCACGCGGCAGCGTGACATCGCCCGTCAGGAGACCGCCCTAACCTCGGATGATTCCTAACGAGCGATCAACATCGTCCATCTGATTGATTACCTGACGAGCAATCGTTTGTGTGTGCGTAGCTGCCTCACAGTCTTCCCACGCCGACGCTACACGATCGTTGATTTCAGATCAACAGGAGCCGAACACGAGCAGAGGGGCGGCGGCGTGCCGTGTCGAGCCGCAAAGGAAGGCGGCTGGCAGTGAAGGAGAACCGGGGAGGCGACGCGGCGGAAGGGGACGGCCGTCAGGTCAAGTCGGAGACGGTGCACGGAGACGCCGCAGACGAAACGCAACAAGACAAGGTGAGCAGCATGCAGCAAGCAGCAGCAGCGAGCAGCAGCAGCGCGCATAGAAGGCAGGGCGTACTTTAGTACAGCAAGGCGTCAGCGGTGCCGCAGCTAGTAACGCAGTGTCCAGCGAGCGGCCAGTCGCAGCATAGTAGCAGCAGCAGCAGCCATGTAGTAACAGCGTAGCAGCAGCAGTAGTTAGTAACAGCATGGCGGCAGTCGCAGCAGTAGTCGGTAGTAGCAGCCAGCAGTCAGCATATTAACATCAGTGGGAGCAGTAGCACGTCAGCAGCACAGCAGCCAGCAGTAACATCAGTATGAGCAGTAGGTCAGTAGTACAGCCAGCGCAGCAGTAGCAGCAGCAGTAGTAACAGCAGCAGCAGCAGCAGCAGTAGTAGCAGCAGCAGCAGCAGCAGCGGTAGCAGCAGCAGCTGTAACTGATAACGCCCCTCTCCCTCCCGGGCGTCGGCGTTGACATGTCTCCGTGTGCGTCTGCTTTCAGTGTTCAAGTTGGACGAGCTGCGGTACGCGCTGCGGCCGACGCTGGAGACACTCTACAGGCAGGACCCGGAGTCGGTGCCCTTCCGCAACCCCGTCGACCCGATCAAGCTCAATATTCCCGTGAGTGGTGTGGACACGGAGGCAGCGGAGCGAGGGAGGGAGTGACTCTCCAGCTGATTGCTACTGAATTGTTAATGTTGTTATGGCGCGCACGTGTGAGAGATGGAAGGGGAAGGAGTGAGGGAGGGAGGGACAGAATGAGAGAGTAAGAGTGAGAGTGAGAGGGAAGTAGTGTAAGAGAGAGAGCGAGAGAGAGAGAGGGAGCGAGAGAGAAGGAAAGAGAGAGACTGAGAGAAAGAGCGAGAGAGAGAGAGAGAGAGAGATAGAGAGAGAGAGAAAGAGCGAGTGACGTAGGGAAAATTAATTGCTAGCCGGTGTATTTCGTGCTCAGCACTATCTAAAAGTCGTTAGCGGCAGCGCGTAATTAGAATGATGTCGGCACGTGTCCCGATGCACGTACATTGAATGTTTCAGGGAAAAAAATATAATTTATTTTTCGGGGGCTACTTTTCAAGCTCGCGTGCATGAAAATAGCACTCTAAAATTTGGTTTGCATTGAACTCTATGCAAATTTACGGGGGCTCTTTTTGGCATTTCGCTAAAATCGCCCCGAGCCCCCGTGTATTTTTTTCACTGGAATGTTTAATGATGAACATGTACAGGGCTTCTTCCTGTATCATCAGACTGACCACACATCGGTCCCATGCACATCAATGACTATGTGGTCACTCGCACGTAGTGAGACCTTCATCCATCGTCGCGCGCAGATGCGAAAAATATCACGATGCGCAAACGCGCGATGAAAAATGCGCACACGAACCACCGGATCGCGTTTTTCTTTAGGATATATATATATATATCCGTCGTCGTGCATAGACACGGAAAAAAATCCTGCGTCGCCGCTCACGATGCGCAAACGTGCGATGAAAAATGCGCAGACGACATCTCTGAGCAGACGTGTCAACGACCGAGTCGCTTATTTCTTCAGGATTACTTTGACATCGTGAAGAACCCGATGGATCTGTCAACGATCAAGCGGCGGCTCGACACGGGCCAGTACCAGGACCCGTGGCAGTACGTCGACGACGTGTGGCTGATGTTCGACAACGCGTGGCTCTACAACAAGAAGACGTCGCGCGTCTACCGCTTCTGCTCAAAGGTAACCAGCCGCCCGCGTTGTCGTGGTTACAGTTCTAATCCGCGTCGTCGTGATTACAGGTCTAATCCGCGTTGTCGTGGTTACAGTTCTAATCTGTGTTTTCATGGTTACACTTCTAATCCGGCGTTGTCGTGGTTACAGTTCTAATCCGCATTGCCGTGGTTACAGCTCGCGGAGGTGTTCGATCAGGAGATCGACCCAGTCATGCAGAGCCTCGGCTACTGCTGCGGCCACAAGTGGGTCTACCAGCCGCAGCCACTCTTCTGCTACGGCCAGAATCTCTGCACGATCCCGCGCGACGCCACCTACTGGAGTTACAGGAACAAGTACGCGTACTGCCAGAAGTGCTACAGCGAGCTGCCGGGAGAGAAGGTGACTCTGTGCGATGAGCCAGGACAGCCCACACTGTAAGTGTCACATTGTCACCGCGGGGGCGAGACGTCGCCGAATGCTCAGTCACGTGGTCGTCGTCGTTAAAGTGATTACGTCTCCGTAGATAGTAAAAACTAAAAAAAATATTTCCATTTTTTTCACAAAATGTAAGTAATTCTGTTCACTTTTTATGGTTAAATTGCTGCATTATACTTCCTGTCGCTTTTTCACAAAATGTAAGTAATTCTGTTCACTTTTTATGGTTAAATTGCTGCATTATACTTCCTATTTTCCTATATTGTTTGATGTAAACATACAGTCGTGACTCATACATAGCCCATAGCAAGCAATTAATGTCAGGATCATAATATCAAATCGTCCAGGTTTTTTGGATTTGCTAACTAGTTGAGAAACAATCTTATCAGGTAACAATTTGACGATACGTTTAGTCCCGTTAGTACTTACTTTTAATGTAAAAAAATGGCAACAAAATTTTTACAAATATCACCATAGAAAATTCGTGACGTAGTCAATTTAACGTTTGTGTGATCGTACCTGCGTGCACGCGTGGCGTGTGTTATGCACGTGCGGTTAGTAGAAAACTCGAACGGCCGAATAAATGTTATTTCGAATGCTACACTTATGTTATGCAACACGTATGCTATGCAACACGTAACAAAATTATGCTACGCAATACATATGCAATGCGCTCCTTGTACTGCTTATTGAGACGTCACATGCCTATGTGCATATTAATCGGGGCGGAGGTAATTTAAACGGGGCGTAAACGATTGAAACAGGGGGGAGTTTTCCCAAACGGGGCGCGCGCGCCCCGATTGCGCAACGTAGGGAGAACCCTGATACATATTGATCCCCAGATTGAAAGAACATTTTCCTATTTCTTTGACTAAGCAAGAATTGAGCACTGTATTTTGTAAATCAATGGTAATAGTCCATTGTTCCACGTTTCGAAATTTGTCGAACGTCCGGCGGAATTTGTCTGTAATGAATCCGCCTGCGTGATAAGATGGAGGTGACCGCTCATCGTGAGAGTGAACGAGCATGTGTGTGTTGTGTGATAGGTGCCCAGGCTGCACAGCAGGCTCCACCCAGCACGTCTCAGCCCGCCCCGGCTCCGGGACCCGACCTGGAGCGCCGCGCCATGCAAGCACTCGGCATATCCTACCCAAGCAATATGAACTCGTCGCAGGCAGCGAGCAGCGCGGCGACGGTGGCGCCATCTCAGGCACCGCACCGGCCCGTACCTCCGTCGCCCAATACGCAGATGGGTGAGTGAACTTTGCAGGTCAAGTTTTCGATGTTTTGTGGCAAGGTGATTGTTGCCATGGGTTCAGCAGGGCCCCAGGGTGACCATTCCCTTCGAGACAGAGGCACCAAGGCAACTTGCACTGTATTAATGACTTCACGTATGACATGTACACAATTTTGAATTTATGGGAAGGGTGCACACGGCAAGCCAGGTGGGGCAGCCGCAAAGATTTATTGCCTTGGATATCATGAAGATTTTTGTGAAAGATTGGCAATTAAGGGGGCAACCACAGCCCTTGCTGTCAGCACCGTGGTAAAATTTGATCACCGGAACAGCGACCGGTGAAAATAGAGCAGTTGCCGTCGTCCTCATTTTCGTCGTAGACTGAAAAGTCGTCGGCGCGTCGCAGTATCTGAGTGTCACAATGAGAGGCTGTAAACACAGTTGCATTCACAAACGATTTCAGGCGCGCATAGCTCTGGTAAATGGAGTATGTGCGAGGCACTGTTCATTTAGCACGAAAACCGGCAGTAGAATCGTCGGAATCTGAGCACATCTTTTATTATGCCTGCGGCTAGAGGGATATTGATTATCTGCGCAGTTCTGTCTCGAGTTTTTACCGGCGTCTTCTCTTCGTGTACTTTTTTTGATGTTGTACACAGCTATGCAGCTAACTGTGCGGAGGGTGTTTATAATGCTTGCCGCAGCCCTGTAACTGTTGCTTGTCTTTTTAATGAAGGTGGCTCAGTGCCGGATGTGGGACCGATCTCCTCATCAAGTCCCGAACTGCCGATGCCAACGCCGCCGGCGAGTATGCAGCCCCCTCTGCTGGCCACGGCTGCGTCAAGCAGCGTCTCTTCTGTGGAGGGCACAGTCGGTAAGCACACTGTTCTATGATGCAGCCCGACGGGGATGTGGGAGTCCGTGTGCCACTGTGATGTAGCCCGACGGGGATGTGGGAGTTCGTGTGCCATTCGGGTGTAGCTCGGCTGGGATATGGGAGTCCGTGTGCCACTGTGATGCAGCCCAACAGGGATGTGGGAGTCCCGTGTGCCACTGTGATTTGTTAGTGTGTGATTTAGTCGAGATTTGTAGATTTAAAAGTGAATTGCTTAGTCAACATTTTTCACAAACAGTGTTAGGATTCTAGTAGGGGATCATTCTGCTCCAATCATGTAAGGTAGGAGTCCGTTTTCCCTGTATCAACCGGGAGAGGCACAACTCGGCTCTGATAATCATTGCCCTAGTGTGATAGGAAGTTAAGAACGACCAGCTAGAACTGGAGCCGTAAGTATTGCGTGGCGTGCCACCATGTGGCGCACACATCTCTACTCCGTACAGAATTTCCGTGCGCCGCGAGGGGACAGTCACATTTGTGTCACCGGGAGCAACCCTGCTGTAGCGGTTAGACGTTCCAGTTTGCTTGTCCAGTCCTGACTATTGACCATTAAGAATCGGTAGTTTTTATAATCGTGCATTCTTCTATGCCATCATTAGATTAGCACCACCTTGCAATGCTACAATGTGTGTCGATCGTGCTTTCTCTTTCTCTCCTGTCTCTTCTATTATCCCTCACTCTCTCATTCTCTAGTATCTCTCTCTCTCTAAGATGTCTAAGAAAATTTTTTAAGATTATCTGGGGAATATGAGAATAACAAGAGTAAGCAGTGTCTGGACGGCTCTTCTAACGAATCTTCGACATTTCAGGTTCGTTGACTGCCAGGAATGCGGTCGCAAGCTGCATCGAGTCTGCGTGCTCTACATGACGCAAATATACCCCAACGGGTGAGTGATGTCCATCTATAACTTCTCATCTAGATGGGGAGGGGGGACCTAACACGTGACAATAACCCCAGGGACCCTGACCTCCCCCACAGGGTCCTCGGATAATAAGTGGGTTATTCGTCGAAGCAGCAGTACTGGCAGTCGGTCTTTCGCAAAAAAAAAGCTAATCACTAACGCTTTAGTAATCTTGTACCATGACTTACATGCTGTGAATTTCTTCTCTCTGCGCAGGTTCACGTGTTCTGGCTGCTTGAAGGCCTTAGGTAGACCAAAGAAGGATAATAAATTCTCGGCGAAACGTAAGTCGATGGCGGGAGAGGGACGAGGCGACATTTAACGAGAGATTCGATTTCACGGTTGTTAAGTCGCGATGCTGAGTAATACCACGTGTGTGCGTGTACGTCAGCGGTGGTGCAATACCGGTGGCTCACGATAAGATCCGTATCGCGATTCACCTTTCACATAATTATTTTATCATAACGATATGGATTTTATTCGGTAGAGTATCAATAGGTGTATCGCGAATGGTCGAACGTATCGATACGTGTATCGATAAGGTTTGTATCGCCCTTAAATCGATATATCGGATGAATCATCCCACCCCTATTAGAAGCCTTTATATAATGGTGTCAGTATCAACTATATAGTGTAGTCAGGGAAACCACTACTATATACACGCCCTCATCGTACGGCGCAAGAGGGGTACTATTGCAAGCCCAGTTGTTGCTACTGTCATGTGCAGCTACGCTCGTGTAAACTACATGCTTACAATAGGAAGCTTGTGTCCCAGCCTCCTAATGTACGTTGTGTGCAGTTGTACGGGGTTTCTTCTGAGGGAAAATTAGACAAAGGAGGTAATTAATGGCCAGTTAGGGGAAAAAACGCGCATAATTTAACAAAATTAATGATAATTTACATACTATGAGCTTCCCTGACTCTACAGGAGCATTCTGACAACAGCGATGTTAAATTTGACAACGGTGGTGCACCACTGTGCCTCTTACGTATAAGCAACCCTGTTGTGAGCGCTGTGTGAGAGAGGGAGGCGTTAATCGGTCGCCTCATCGCGTGCGTGTCTCCCGCAGGATTGCCCGCCAACAAGCTGAGCATGTTCCTGGAGAATCGCGTCAACAACTTCCTGCACAAGAACGGGGCGGGCGCCGGCGACGTGACGATACGCGTCGTCTCCAGCAGCGACAAGGTCGTCGAGGTCAAGTCGGGAATGAAAACCAGGTAGGGGGCGCTGCGTTTGCGCCACGGAAGGCGAGCGTCGCTTGCGCGGGCGTCAGCGCGGGCTTTCACTGTGGCTTTGTGCGACACCAGTCGTGGTGCTGCGATGCGAATAATGCCGGTTACAGTGTGATACCTGTGAGTAACAGTCACGGAATTTGTCACAGTGTTTGCGCTTAATGCATTCACGAGCGTCACAAACCATCGAATTAATTATTGTAGCAAAATTTTAGTTATTGCCCGAAGGAGGGCGCCACATGTGATAACTGGCGGCTACTCTACGTCTTGCCGTCGCTCGACGAATCACGATCTTCGTACGTTCGGCAGATACTCTGACGACAACGCATTCCCGGAGATGTTCCCCTACAGGACGAAAGCACTGTTCGCTTTTGAGGAGATAGATGGCGTTGACGTCTGCTTCTTCGGCATGCACGTGCAGGAGTACGGCTCGCATTGTTCCCAGCCGAACACCAGGTGCGTGAACGCTGATCAGCGAAACTCGATCTATCCTATAGTCTATTGTGTCTATAGTTAATAGTTAGTAGGGCGATACTTACCTATGATACTAGGATGATAGTAGGGTAGCTCAGTGTATGATCAGTATCACGATGCTTCCCTACCTGGCAAACTGTACACTCAATCGGGAGGACTCTACCAATCATGCGAACGCTTACAAATTGTTTTCGTGGAGCGCTTATATTAGTGAAATGCTAAAAGCTATGGAATTGTGAATTGTGTTATGTTTCTTCTACGCTACTAAATGAAACTGGTTTTAGTCAGAAGAGTATCGATACGTGTATCATCAAGGTTTTGTATCGCGATACATCGATATATATCGATGAATTGTCCCACCCCTAGTGGATACCACTACCTGATGGGACCAGTATCAACTATATAGGAAGGTGGTGGTGCGATTTAGGTATACGCAGTTCCTACGTAGAGTACCTAGGTCTACTTAGGTAGACTTAGGTGTACTTAGGTACACTGATAGAGAGACACAGTGGTGTCAGTGTGAGTTGTGTTTTCACACTGACCTTCGACTGAGCTTGTTGCGTTTCAGGCGCGTGTACGTCTCCTATCTGGACAGCGTCCACTTCTTCACGCCGCGTGAGTTTCGGACGGCGGTGTACCACGAGATTCTCATCGGCTATCTCGACTTCTGCAAGCAGATGGGGTGAGTGTTGCTCCTGCTGCCCTCTCTCTCTCTTTCTTTCTCTCTCATTCTCTCTCGCTCTCTGTCTGAGGGCGGTTACTGTACCAGTGTCACACCGTAACACTCGTCTGTGCGGTTGCAGGATGGTGTGGGCGCACATATGGGCCTGCCCGCCCAGCGAGGGGGACGACTACATATTCCACTGCCATCCCATCGAGCAGAAGATTCCGAAGCCAAAGCGCCTGCAGGACTGGTATCGCAAGATGCTGGACAAGGGCACGATGGAACGCGTCGTCGTCGACTACAAGGTAAGAGCCGGCGTATGCAGCAGCATCACAGGTCACGGTGACGATCCTTCTCCGTGTCCGTGTCGCGATGTGTCGGTGGGTGGTTTAGATTGGTTCGCGTGTCGCGGTCTATCATCTCACTTTGTGTCTCGCGATGTGTTTTGTCGCGTCCCGTGACTTGTCTTGCTTCTCGTCTCACGACGCGTCTCGCCGCCTGCCTCGCAATGCGCCTCGTCTCTTGCCTCGCCTCGTGTCTCACTGCGCGCCTTCTCGTCTCTCGTAGGACATCCTCAAGGACGCGATGGACAACAACGTGCAGTCGGCCGCCGAGCTGCCGTACTTCGACGGCGACTTCTGGCCGAACGTGTTCGAGGAGAGCATCCGCGAGCTGGAGCAGGAGGAGGAAGAGCAGCGGAAGCGCGAAGCTGCAGAGGCAGCGATGGCAGCCGTCACCGAGAACGGGGAGTGCGAGACGGAGAGCCAGGAGGTGGGTGGTGGTGCCGCGCGGAGCATTGTGTAGGCGGAGAGAGATGTCAGTAGCAGCAGCAGCAGCAGTAGCAGTAGTGATAGTAGCAGCAGCAGCAGCAGCAGTAGTAATAGTAGTATTAGTAGTAGTAGTAGTAGTAGCAGTAGCAGCAGCAGCAGCAGACATGCATGCTCATACACTTTCACACATGCGTGCGCTCGCTCAAATGCATGCGCACGTACGCAGCCAGCATACTAGTCTGCCATAAGTACGGTCCATTGATCATCATGACCATAACTTTTCGAGATAACAAGCAGACCTAGAGGAGGAGGAGGGGGAGGAGAGGGGAGGCTTAGCATCAACTTGCTTTCAGGTCCACTGAGGAGAACAGTGTGCAATAACAGCATGTTGTTGTGTAAGAATGACTAAACAAACAAATAAACACATGTATAAATAAGTAAGCGGCCGAGCCTTCGTCAGTACTGCGAGATGCTTCATGAGGTAATTGTGGTACCACTGTCGGTGGGCGGGATGCTGACCAGGGTTCTTGTTTCTGCTACAGGGTGCAGGCGATATTTCCGACGCCGGACCCAGCGGCGTTGCATGATCGCCGCATGATCAACCTAGTCGCCTACGCTCGCAAGGTCGAGGCTGACATGTATGAGAGCGCCACCAGCAGGGTGAGTGTCCGTCCTCGCGTGTGGTGACACACCTGTCATTCATGTCTACCTGTTCTGTATGGCTTCTTACCTAGACTGTTAGTTACCAACCAACTGTTCTGTGAATAACCTATTTTGTTGCTTATCTACATATTCTGTTGGTTTTCTACGTATTCTCTCGGTTACCTAACCTACCTATTTTGTTGGTTACCAACTGTTCTGTTGGCTACCTATTTGTTGGCTACCTACATTTTGTTGGTTATCTACATATTTTCTTGGTTTTCTACGTATTCTCTCGGTTACCTAACCTACCTATTTTGTTGGTTACCAACTGTTCTGTTGGCTACCTATTTGTTGGCTACCTATATTTTTGTTGGTTATCTACATATTTTCTTGGTTTTTAGCTGCTTTTTAGCTGGCGATTGACCTGTTTTATTGTTTACTTACTTCGTACTTATG